AAAAGAACAAATTTAGAGACATCACATTACCTGAGTTCTGACTATACTGTAAGGTTACAGTAACCAAAATAGGATGGTACTGGTTCAACAGCAGACACATATTCAAACAGAAAGGACAGAGAAGCCAGAAATAAAGCTGCACACTTATAAACATCTGATCTTCAACAAGTAGACAAAACAAGCAATCAGGAAAGGACTCTTTAGTCAATAAATGGTGCTGGGGTAACTGGCTAGCCATATGCTGAAGAATAAAACTGGACTCCTACCTATCACCATATACAAAGATTGACTCAAGATGGATTAAAGACAAATATAAGATGTAATACTATAAAAATCCTAGAAGAAAACCTAGGAAGTACCTTTCTGGACATTGGCCTTGGCAGACGTGACTAAGTCTGCAAAAGCAACTACAACAAAAACAGAAATTGACAAGCAGGATCTAATTAAACTAAAAAGCTTCTGCACAACGTAGGAAACTATCAACAGCATAAACAGGCAACCTACAGAATAGGAGAAAATATTCACAAACTAATTATCCAACAAAGACTCAATATCCAAAATCTATAAAGGAACTTAAGCAATTCAACAAAGAAGAAATAATCCCATTAAAAAGTGGATAAAGGAAATAGCCAATTCTCAAAGGAAGACATACACACAGCAAACAAACATATGAAAAAATGCTTAATATCACCAATCATTAGAGAAATGCAACTCAAAACCACAGCGACATACTATCTGACATCAGTCTGAGCATGCATTATTAAAGATTCAAAAACAATGGATGCTGGCAAGGCTGCAGAGAAAAAAAAATGCTCATGCACTGTTGGTGTAAATGTTTATTAGTTCAGCCACTGTGGAAAACAGTTTAGAGATTTCTCAAACAACTTAAAAAACAGAACTACCATTAGACCCAGGAATCCCATAACGGCATGTTTACTCAAAGGAAAATAAGTCATTCTATCAAAAAGACACATGCACTTGTATGTTCATCATGGCACTATTCACAATAGCAAAGACATGGAATCAACCTAACTATCCATCAGTGGTGGACTGGATGAAGAAAACGTGGTACATAAACAACATTGAATACCATATAGCTATAAAAAGGAACAAAATCATGTCCTTTGCAGCAACATAGTTGCAGCTCCATTAATCTAAGCTAATTAACACAGAAACAGAAAACCAAATACCACATGTTCTCTAAGTGGGAGCTGAACATTGAATACATATGGACATAAAGATGAGAACAATAGACACTGGGGACTACTAGATAGGGGAGGGAGGTGTGGGGAGTGAGGGGTGAAAAACTCACTATGCTATGCTTACTACCTGAATGACAGGATCTTTCATACAATATACCCATGTAATGAACTGCATGTGCACTCCCTGAACCTAAAAGCAATTTTTGTAAATGATGCATATGAGCCATAACAATAAAAAGTACATTTTAAAGTAACTGTAGGTTGTTTGCATGAGTTTACATAGTGCAATCAGTATTATTTCAATGTTAAAACCATAATCAGAGGCCACGGGTGCAGTAGTTCACACCTGTAATCCCAGCACTTTGGGAGGCTGAGGCAGGCGGAGCACGAGGTCAGGAGTTCGAGAACAGTGTGGCCAATATGGTGAAACCCTGTCTCTACTAAAAATACAAAAATTAGCTGGGGGTGGTGGTGGGCACCTGTAGTTCCAGCTACTCGGGAGGCTGAGGCAGAAGAATCGCTTGAACCTGGGAGGCAGAGGTTTCAGTGAGCTGAGATTGCACCACTGAACTCCCAGCCTGGGTGACACAGTAAGATTCCACCTCAAAAAAAAAAAAAAAAAGAAAAAAAAATCAGAAATCAACAAATAAAAGGGACTACCAGTATCCTGTTAGCTTTCAAATCCCTAAACTATTAAATTCCTCTCAGGGAGTGACTCAATATAGAAAAACACAATATTTTTACATTAAAGACAAATTGATACAACTATTTGCATACTCTGCATTCAGGTATTTATAATCACGCATTAAGGTCATCACTTTGTAAAATTTTAGAATTAGAAGGTCTCTTACAAGTCATTGTGATAGACTGAATATTGGTGCAAAATATATACATGTTCTAATCCCTGGAACCTGTAAATGTTACCTTAAAAGGCAAAAGCATATTGCAAATGTGATAAAGATCTTCAGTGGGGGTTAAGATTAAAGATCTTAACTTAATCCCCACTTTAAAAAAGGAGATTATCCCATGGGCTCTAAATGTAATCACAAGTGTCCTTATAAGAGATCAGCCGAGGGAAATTTGACTATAGAAAATGAGAACGCAATTCAAAAATAGAAGCAGAGATTGGAGTGATACAACCATAAGCTAAGGAATACTGGCAACCACCAGAAGACAGAAGAGGCAAAGAATAGATTCTCCTCCGGGCCCTCTTAAAGACATTGGTCCTGCTGATGCCTTGATTTTAGCCCTGTAAGACTCATTTGGGGCTTCTGGCCTCCATAGCCAAGAAAATTAATTTCTATTGCTTTAAGCCACTAAATATATAATTTTTACAACATTAGTAGGAGACTAATACAGTCAATCTATTAGTGCTCAAATTTGCTGGTAAGTGACAGTATTCTTTTAAGATCTCCATCATTTTTCTCGGGAAGTGAAGGGAGAAAGGAAAAACTCTATAATATGTTGACATATTTAATTTTATTAAATGAGTCATGAGCATTTTTTTCTACCAGAAATGATCGCATATTCTATTTGTGATACATAAATTATACCAATGGTTAAAATTAAAATGCTGAATAAGGTGAATAAAGGGAACTTCTAAACATTTTCTATGAATATCCTGCTTTCAGGAGATGGAGATTAAGTGTCAAACTATTTGGAAAATATCTGAGAGAATATCATTGTGTGACATTGGAAGAAAGGAAAGTAAAAGCCATACAAAATATATTTAGGTTCAGATTAATTTGTGCTAAATAGTGGACCAGAAGATAGTTTTTGTTTTCTTTCTTAAATATTAATACATTTATCTTCCTTAGGAAATATAAATCAGATGCATTGATAGTAACAAAACCCTCACTTATTTGAATTAGTTAAAAATAATTGAAATTATGGTCAAAAAGAGATGAGATCCTGAAAGGAGGTGGCTCTCACATATAAATGCATGGACAGGGAGTTTTAAAGGAAGACAGTGCAAGTCAAGGAGTCTAATCATTAAGTACATCTTTTCTGTTCTCAAATGAGGCTTCGTGACTTAATCAAACAACTTCTATTTTCTTCTTAGAAAAAGTTACTGAAAATCAGAACCCAGAAAAAGTCAAATCATGGTTTGAGAGAGGTTGTAAGTATAAAATCTATCAAAAGACACATCCATCACAAGCAAGAATATTTGGATCATAAAAGCAGAAACAGAAACTAAAGAATGGGGGATACACAATGTTACCACCATTTTATTCTTTGTCCATATTTAAAAGCCTCTTATCCTTTTCTTAAGGACCCTGTATTAAAGCATGCTTGATTTCATAAAATCATGTAGGTGGACTAGGCACTCTCAGTAAATAGTTAAAATATAAAAACCGTAGAAGAATAGACTAACTGAAAGAATATGGGTAGCAGAAACAGGTGTTTTTGTGATCTTTAGACAATTTAATTGCAACATGCCTAATCATTAACTTTTTGCTGCAAATAAGTAAAAACCTGTCAGAACATCACTGTTTGATAAAAATTTAAGAATCACTGTCTTAAAATAATCAAGATCTAATCAACCTCTTCATTTGATACACAACCCAGCTGTCAACCTGAGAGATTGAGTGGCTTGCTGAAATCACCCAGGTAATCAGTAGCAAATTCTGGACACAAAGCCAAGTCTCCTTATTTCCAGTCTACTAATGGTAGTTTCTTTCTATCATACTTTACAAATGTGTTTGTGAGTAAGATAGGTCAAGATTAAATATAAATATTTGGCAAATTTGTGAATTTAGGCTTGTTTATATTTTCATCATGAAACACACTTACCTTTTTATTTTGGGTATGGCTTTCTCATGAAAACATTTACAAACTCCAAAGTATTTACTATGATTTCTGATTTATAAACTGCTAATGTAACAATGTATCTGAATATGGCTTGTGTTTTGAAATGCTAAGTAGTAAACTTAAAAATACTCAGTGAGATTCCTACCATCTTCATTTCACACGACCCAGGGACATTCCTTATTTGAGTCAATCCTATCCATCAGTTAGTACAATAACAGAAAAGCACGGCAAACATTTGATTCATAATTTTATGCATTGGGGCCGGGCGCGGTGGCTCAAGCCTGTAATCCCAGCACTTTGGGAGGCCGAGACGGGCGGATCACTAGGTCAGGAGATCGAGACCATCCTGGCTAACACGGTGAAACCCCGTCTCTACTAAAAAATACAAAAAACTAGCCGGGCGCGGTGGCGGGCGCCTGTAGTCCCAGCTACTCAGGAGGCTGAGACAGGAGAATGGCCCGAATCCGGGAGGCGGAGCTTGCAGTGAGCTGAGATCCGGCCACTGCACTCCAGCCTGGGTGACAGAGCGAGACTCCGTCTCAAAAAAAAAAAAAAAAAAAAAAAAATTTTATGCATTGTACTTTACTGTAACAGGTGCTTAGTCCTTGGGCATAAAATAAACTTGCAAAGTCCTCCTAAATGGATCAAGATTCATTATAAAGTAAAAGTCATAAATAATTTTGTAGGCAAACAGAAAAAAGACAGGAACATACATAGAATGAGTCAATAGTTTTAAAATTATTACTATGCAAACAAAGTACCTGTAGTCACTAGGGAGATTAAGAAAGACCTTGATGCCAGGGAATACAATATTTTGAGGGGTTAATAAGAACATAACTTTTAAAATATTACTAATACTCTACACCAGACAACTTTGCTTTCAAAAGTAACAAAATATATTCTCATACAGGTTTAAATAAAATAACTATTTTTTCTATTTCATTCACTTTAAAAATAATTAGCATAATTGTTAATTTCAATGTTTACCTGAAAGAATGCATCCTTTCGACTTAGAGGTATGCTCATGAAAAGTGTCACATAACTTTCTGAAATTCTATCGAATAAGCAATCTTGGTTTTCTCTGTCAGGCTTAAAAAAATGTGTGAAATTAAAGTCAATATTACAATTTAAAACTGGAATTTGTTTACATGATGACAGCAATTTTATTTATTTTTATGAGCAGATCAATTGGTATAGGAGAATCAGCATGGGTTTTGGCATAATGCAGACCCAAATTTTAACACTGGCTGTTTTGCATTAGCTGTATTACCCTGGGCAAGTTAATTAAGTCCCAGGTTTCTCATCTGTCAAATGTAGGTAATATATACTTATTTTAAAAGAGTGTAGTAAGATTAAATAAGAACAGGGATCATATTTTTGCAACTTTGTATTTCAAGGCCTTAGCACAGTACCTGACAACAAAAAGCATGCAAACATTTGATGAGTTAATTATCCTTGCATTCCAGGAATAAATCCCATTGGTTATGGTGTATAATCCTTTTAATATGCTGTTGCTTTTGATTTGCTGGTATTTTGTTGAGGATTTTTGTGTCAAAATTCATCATAAAAGATATTGGTAGTTTCTGTTATTTTTATTGTAGTGTCTTTCTTGGGCTTTAGTATCAGAGTAACACCTTCTAACTCACAGGTTGAGTTAGAAAGTGTTTCCTCTTCAACTTTTTGAAAGAGTTTCAGAAGGACTGGTGTTTATTCTTTAAATGTTGGTAGAATTCCCCAGTGATGCCATCTGGTACATCTGGTACAGGGCTTTTCTTTGATGGGAGGTTTTTGATTACTGATTCAATCTCCTTAATAGTTATAATGTTTAGATTGTCTATTTCTTTGTGATTCTATCTTGTTAAATTGTATGTTTCTAAGAATGTGTCCACTTCAACTACATTATTCCAATTTGTTGGCATATATTAGTTCACAGCACTTATAATCCTTTTTAACTCCATTAAACTGAAAATATTGTCCCCACTTTCATTTATAATTTTAGTAATTAGTCTTCCCTATTTTTTAATAGTCATTCCAGCTAAAGGTTTGTCCATTTTGTTCTTCTCAGAGACAGAACTCCTAGTTTTGTTAATTTTTTTCTGTTTTTCTATTCTTCACTTCATTTATCTCTGTTGCAATATTTATTATTTCCTTCCTTCTGTTAACTTAGGATTTAATTTGTTCTGTTTCCAGTTACTTAATATGTGAGATGGTGTGGTTAATTTCAGATCTTTCTTCTTTGATTTTTAATGTTTTATTAATTTTAATTTATAAATCATAATTGTATGTATAGGGTACAATGTATCATTTTGATATATGAATACAATGTGAAATGATTAAATCAAGCTCCTTAATGTATCCATTATCTCAGTTACTTATACTTTGTTGAGGTGAGACATTTAAATTTTACTTTTAGCAATTTTGAAGTATATAATATAGTACTATTTACTGTAGTGACCACGTTGTGCAACAGGTCTCAAAGTTATTCCTCCTGTCTCACTGAAACTCTTTACCCTTTGAACATGTGCCCATTCCCAGCCTTCAGCTCAGCCTCTGTAACTACTGCTCTGCTCTCTACTTCTCTGAGTTCAACTTTTTTAGATTCCACATGTAAGTGAGATCATGTGATGTTTATCTTTATAAGCCTGGCTTATTCCACTTGGCAATACGTCCTCCAGGTTCATTCAGGCTGTCATGAATGTTAGGATTTCCTTTTTTAAGGCCCAAAAATATTCTACTGTGCATTTACACCACATTATCCATTCATTCATTGACAGACAATTAGGCTGATTTCCATGATGGACACTTAGGTTGATCTCCTGTCTTAGCTATTGTGCTGCAATGAATGTGGACAGAGAGATATCTATTTGACATATTGATTTCAATTCCTTTGGATGTATACCCAGAAGTGGGATTACTGGAGCATGTAGTAGTTCTATTTTTAGTTTTTGAGAAATCCATACTGTTTTCCATATTAGCTGTAGTAATTCACATTTCCAACTGTATACAAGTGTTTCCTTTTCTCCATATCCTCACCAAAAGTTGTTATCTTGCATCTTTTTTGATAATAGCCATGTGAGATAACATCTCATATATTAAACAGGTGTGTGAGATGACATCCCATTGTGGTTTTGGTTTGTATTTCCCTAATGATTAGTGATGTTGAGCATTTTTTCACATACTGTTCACATAGCTATTTTTATGTCTTCCTTTGAGAAGCATTTGATTAGAGCCTTTGCCCATTTTAAAAATTGTATCAAATTATTTTTATCAAATTTGAAACGTATTATTTACTGTGGTCACCATGCAGTATAACAGATCATTAAAACTTATTTCTCTGGTGTAACTGAAACTTTGTACCATTTGATCATCGCACCTTTCCCCATTTCTCCCACCCTCAGCCTCTGGTAACTACCTTTCTGCTCTCTGTTTCTATGAAATTGACTTTTTTAGACTCCACATGTGAGATCATACAGTATTTGTCTTTCTGCACCTGGCTTATTTCAGTTAGCAAAATATCCTCCAGTTCCATCTATGTTGTTGGAACTTACAGAATATCCTTGTTTTTAAAGGTCATATAGTAATCCATATAAACTATAAACCATATAAACTATATATACATAGTATATATATTTGTGAAATATATTTGTGATGGATTACTATATATATTTTAATATATATATTATATATTATATATACCAAATATATATAGTATATATATATTTATATACCAAATCTTCTTTATCCATTCATCCATTGATGGACATTCAGGTTGCTTTCATGTCTTGGCTATGTGATTAATGCTAAAATGAACATGAAAGTGCAAATCTTTTCAACACAGGAATTTTAACTCCTTTGGATATAAACAGAAACGAGATTGCTGGATCTTACGGTGATTCTATTTTCAGTTTTTTTGTGGAAACTTCATACTATTTTCTAAAATGACTGTACTAATTTACTAATTTACTTTGTTTCTTTTAAAATCAGGTTGCTTTCCTGCTATTAAGTTGTTTAAATTGCTTATATATTTCAGACATTAACCCCTTATCAGATGTATGGTTTTCAAATGTTTTCTCCCATTCTACAGGTTCTCTCTTCAATCTATTGACTGTTTGCTTTGCTGTGAAGCTTTTTAGTTTTATGCAATTCCATTTGTCTATTTTTTGTTTTTGTTGCCTGTACGTTTGGCTTCATATTCAAAAAATCATTGTACAAACCAATGTCATGGAGCTTTTCCTGTTTTCTTCTAGTAGTTTTACAGTTTCAGATCTTATATTTAAGTCTTTAATTCATGCTGACTTGACTTTTGTAAATGGTGTGAAATAAGGGCTCAATTTCCTTCTTCTGCATGTGGATACTCAGTTATCCCAACAATAGTTATTGAAGACTGGCCATTCTCCATCATGTGTTCTTGGCACCTTTGTTGAAAACCAATTAATTGTAAATGTGTAGATTTATTTGGGGGCTCTCTTTTCTGTTCTATTGGTATATGTGTCTGTTTTTATGTCAATTCTCTGTTGTTGTTGTTTTTTACTACAATACTACAGCATTATAGTATATTTTTGAAGTTAGGTAGTCTGATACTTCAAGCTTTGTTCTTTTTGCTCAAGATTGCTCAGACTATTCAGGATTTTCTGTAGTTCCATATAAATTTTAGGACTGTTTTTTTCTATCTCTGTGAAAACACCACTGGAATTTTGTTAGTGATTGCATTGATTCTGTAGGTTGCTTTGGGTAGTAAAGACATTTTAATTAAACTAATTCTTTCCATCTATAAACACAGGATATCTTTCCATTTATTTGTGTCATCGTCAATTTCTTTTATCAGTGTTTTATGTTTCTAGTATACAGATTTCTCACCTCCTTGGTTAAGTTTAAATCTAAGTATTTTACTTTTTGTTATTACTATTGTAAACAGAATTGTTTTCTTGATTTCTTTTTTGTATAATTCATTGTAACTGTACAGAAATACTACTAATTTTTGAATGTTGATTTTGTATCCTGCAACTTAATTCATATAATATTTCAAACAGTTTTTTGGGGGAATCTTTAGGATTTTCTGTATATAAGATGTTATTACAAACAGATATTTCACTTCTTCCTTTTCTATTAGGATACTTTTATTTCTTTCTCTGGCCTAATTGCTATGGGTTTCTTATTTTTTAATGTAAGAATTTACAGCTATAAATTTCCCTCTTTGCATTGCCTGTGCTACATCTCATAAGTTTTCGTATGTTGTGTTTTTGTTTTCATTTATCTCAAGGTATTTTCTGACTTCCTTTTTGATTTCTTCTTTGACCCACTGGTTGTTCAGGAACAATAGGAACTCAATATATTAACGGGAGTATAAAATTGTATATTCACCTGGAAAAACAATGTGACATTTTCTCATTAAGCTGATCATTTTCATACCAAACAACCCCACAATTCCTTTCCTTCTTCATATGTCTTATACCTTCTGTTTGAGAGCTGGGCATCTTTCATAGGCCTGTAGAAACTGAGGTACATAATATTTATGCTTGGGAATAGGCATTCCTCTTCCTTTGCTAAGCCTTTAGGAGCTTGACTCAATTAAGTTAAGTAACGAGCTGTATTTGGGTTTTGTTTCTTCTATGGTCACTCTCAGTGAAACAGAGGCTTCAGTCTGCTCTTGTGCTACCTCATTTTTAGAATTCTGGAATAACCAACTTTTGGCCTAATTGAGTTTCTTTGTCTTCTCTTTTTAATGTTATTAATTTTCTCTCTGGTCTTTATTATTTTATTTTCTTCTGCTTTCCATAGGTTTGGTTTTTTTTTTTTCTTTTTCCACTTTCTTAAGGTAGAAGCTGAACTTCCTCTTTTTGGAGAACTTCCTCTTTTTTCTAATGTAGGCATTTTAATTCTATGATTTTCTCTCTAAATACTGCTCTAGTTATATCTCACACATTTTAATCTGTTTTCATTTTCATTTAGTTCAAAATAATTTCTGATTTCCTTATTGATTCCTGATTTGATCCATGGTTACTGAGAATTGTGTTCATTTCCAAATATTTGGGGATTTTTTAGATATCTGTTATTATTTTATAATATAATTCCATTTTGATCTGAAAATACTGTGTTTGACTTGAATTCTTATAAACTTATTAGGATATTTTCCTAGCTCAGAATATAGTTAATCTTAAATGTTTAATGTGGACTTGAGAAAAATGTGTATTCTGCTGTTATTGGGAGGTGCTATGATTTGAATGTGTCCCCCAAAGTTCATGTATTGAAAACTTGATCCCCAGTGCAGTGGTGTTGGGAGATGAGGCCTAATGGGAAGTGTTTGGGTCTTGGGGACATTACCCTCATGAACAGATTATGCCATTATCACAGAAGTGTGTTTGTTATCATAGGAGGGGCCCTCTTGCTTGTTCCCTCTCTCATCTTCTACCTGCTGCCAAGGGATGATGCAGGTAAAAGGCCCTCACCACATGCTGGCCCCTCTATCTTGGACTTCCTAGCCTACTGTGAGTCAATTCATTCTGTCCATTATAAATCACCATTCTGTTATATTCTGTTATTGTAGCACAAAACCAACTAATACAGGAGAGATGTTTAATAAATGTCAATTATGTCAAGTTGCTTGAGAGTGTTGTTTAAGCCTTCTATATCACTCTTTTTTTTTTTTTTTTTTTTTTTCCGAGACAGAGTCTCGCTCTGTCGCCCAGGCTGGAGTGCAGTGGCCGGATCTCAGCTCATTGCAAGCTCCGCCTCCTGGGTTTATGCCATTCTCCTGCCTCAGCCTCCCGAGTAGCTGGGACTACAGGAGCCCGCCACCTCGCCCGGCTAGTTTTTTGTATTTTTTTAGTAGAGACGGGGTTTCACCGTGTTAGCCAGGATGGTCTCGATCTCCTGACCTCGTGATCCGCCCGTCTCGGCCTCCCAAAGTGCTGGGATTACAGGCTTGAGCCACCGCGCCCGGCCAAGCCTTCTATATCATTCTGTAACCTTACTAATTTTCTGTATATTCTACCAACTATTCAAAGAAGGGACTGAAGTCTCTATACGTATTGATTTGTGTATTTCTTTTTAAAGTATTACAAGTTTTTATTAAATGTGTTTTGAAGCATTTGTATTAGGTGCATAAATACTTGGAATTGTTAAGTCAGGTTGATGAGTTGACCACTTCAGCATTATAAAATTACTTTCTTTATCTGTGGTAACATTCTTTGCTTTGAAATCTACTTTATATGATGGGTTAAAAAAAAAACTGACTTTATAAGTTAAATGTCTTTATTTTATTGTTGTTTGGAGGGGAATGATGCACTTTCCAGGTACTTGTCTTTTTTGTAGTCAAGGTCCCAAGAGCTATTTTTTAGAACATTAAGGGTATTATAATATTATTACTGAAATTCTTCTAGTAAAACACAGTTTCATGTGCTGCTTATTTCTTCTCTTATTGATTCCCAGATACCACATCTGATATGGTTTGGCTGTCTCCCCAACCAAATCTCATCTTGAATTATAATCCCCACATGTTGAGGGAGGGATCTGATGGGAGGTGACTGGATCATGGGAATGGTTTTCCCCATGATATTCTCGTAATAGTGAGTTCTCATGAGATCTGTGGTTTAAAAAGTGTGGCACTTTCCCCTCCTTTTCTCTCTTTCCTGCCTCCCTGTGAAGAAGGTGCCTGCTTCCCTTTTGCCTTCCACCATGATTGTAAGTTTCGTGAGGCCTCCACAGCCATGTGGAAATGTGAGTCAATTAAATCTCTTTCCTTCATAAATTTCCCAGTCTTAGGTGGTTCTTTATAAGAATGTGAAAACAGACTAATACACCTTCTTTATCTGTTCAATCCTAATCAGAATTCTCACCCTTCTAATTCTGGATCTTCTGATTAAAAATCTGACTTAGACTCTAATTATATAATATGTGATATATATTATGATATATGTAATATATGAAGTCTAATTTCAAAGATCCAGAATCTTTTGAAATCTATATTAAAGTTTTAACTCCTCTGAAAGAACTTTAGACTTCAAATAGGATTTCTAATGTGTGGAATGCTCAAAAACTCATCTCTGTAATTGCATCCAGAAAAGCATTTTTGTACTAGACTTATCTCTACTGAAAAATTAATTAAGCCAAAAATCAACTTAAAAAGAAATTTTTAAAAATCACTATACCCTGAACTTATGGAGAAACCACCACCAAAAGGAGTCATGCAAAAGAGCAATGGAGGCTTCTGAGAGAAAATGAGTCTTCCAGATTTTAAAAACTCTTTCCTATGGAAAAAAACAAAAGAGAGATGCATGGAGATTAAAATATATTACAAAACATGTTAATGTAAATAGGCTTTATAAAGAGTATGCTTTCAATGCTTACAGATCAGCACTGTCCAACAGAAATTTAACATGAGCCACATACATGTTAAATTTTCTTGTAGTCACATTAAAAAAGTAAAGAGTGAAATTAATTTTAGTGACATTTTATTTAATCAAATATATTTAAAATATTTCAACACATAATTTTTATAAAAATTATTAAAATATTTTGCATTCCATTTTTGGTACTAGGCATTTGAAATATGGTATATATTTTTGATAGCATATCTCAACTTGAACAGTACATTTTCATCAGAAGTACTAGATTAATATTTAGACTTCATAGAATACATGTTTGTAATTTTGTTCCAAGCATAATTAAAAGCATTTTAATAACTAAATGAAATTTAGTTTTTAGATTTATATATAAAGTAGTTAAAAGAAATACAATAAAAAATTCAGCTCCTCATACTAGCCACATTTCATATGCTCAATAACCATATTTGGCTAGTAGATATTGAAAGGAAAACCAAGAACAGCAAACATGTAAGATTCATGCCATTATTTCCACCTTTTCCACTGAGGACAAATATAAACAATCATGGACTTCTATTCCAATAAGCCCCTATCCTGAGCCTGTCTAGTGTTCTTTCTAAGCAAACAATTAATCAAAATTGGATTAAATGGCAATGTATCCATTTAATCATGGATAATTTAATCATGGAGGGCAAAATGACCAGTTTTACCAGGTAACCATCTTATCCTCATTTTAGCCCTGGTATTCACTGGTTATTGATCTAATGACCTCCCAACACCTGCAGTTTCCCATCGTTTGGTTACCCTATAGGGATACTACCCAAAAATTCCCACAGACACTTGGAGACTCAAAAGAAACACCCAGAAGGGTTGTGAAGAAGGGCACTTACAACTTATTTCAGGATCAAAAATGATCAGGCTAAAACATCCTGAGCTGACAGAGCAGGAACAGACAAGAAGGAAAACACACCTGTTAACGGTTACATGCCAAGCCAGTGTACACTAGCAACCTCAGGGTCCCAAAGCAGTAACACAGAGTTTAAAACATTCTTTTCTGGTAATCAGTGGGTTAGACACATCACTTGTCTTTCCTGCCAAATTTAATGCCCAAAGGATCAAATCTTGCTAAACACTTAATTTCTCATAGCTTTAAATATAGGTCTGATTCATTAAATCATACTGTCAAAATTTATCCTACAATAAAATGAAATATTTACATACATCAAAATTATGGGCTTTTAAAATAAAAAGATAAATTCGTTCAGCATCCAAATGTCTGGGTAGCTTAGTAAGTTCATTTGCTTTGAATCCTGTGAAGCTGCAACCCTAGAAAGAGGAAAATATAACAGGAGAGTAAATATTTCACTCTTCTCAATATAGTAGACTTGTATAACTACAGAAGACCAACATTTAACTATCACTCATTAACATAATTATTTTACTTCTTTTTACTAAATTAACTAAAAATTATATATCCCATCAAAGAAACACCTTCGGCCGGGTATGGTGGCTCACGCCTGTAATCCCAGCACACTGGGAGGCTGAAGTGGGTGGATCACTTGAGGTCAGGAGTTCGGGACCAGCCTGGACAACATGGTGAAACTCCATCTCTATTAAAAATACAAAAATTAGCTGTGCATGGTGGCATGCACCTGTAATCATAGCTACTTGGGAGGCTGAGGCAGGAGAATCACTTGAACCTGGAAGGCAGAAGTTGCAGTGAGCCAGCGTTGCACCACTGCACTCCAGCCTGGACCACAGAGTGAGGCTCCATTCCCCACACCCCCTGCAAAAAATAAAGAAAAACCTTCATATGTTCTGCTTCTCTGAAATTAAAAACCCTGGTACATTCATATGCCATACCTAAAATAAAAACAAAATTGTATTTCCGAACTAATTTTGACATAAACTCAAATGAGCAAGACTTTTAGCTAGACTACACATAAATAAATAAAGACTAGGCAGAAAGAGAAAGCTTCTATACCTGTTTCCAACCCTCTCCTCTGGTACCTCTCTCTATATTTAGAGCTATACTTATATTGTTGTAAACGTTATTTTAGTCCTACATAATACACTTGATATACAATCTGGCAGAACAGAAATTTTAAGTACCTCTATATTCTTCTCTGTCTCCATTTCATCTGAAAGCTGGAAAACATTTTAAATAAAATCTTTAAAACTCTAAATTAAAGAAATTTTACATTTAGTAAATTTGTTCAGTTAATTAGTATGCATAGATAAATATGTGTGTGTGTGTGTGTGTGTATATATATATATATATTTTTTTTTTTTTCTACAGAGGCCTAAAATACTATTGCTGTGTTTAATACCAGAAATTCAAAGATGACCCTTGCCCTCAAACTAGTTATGGTTCAAAAACGGAATCAGATACATACACAAACAAAACAAATAGAGATAAGGGCTGTAATAAACAAACTACTTATTACAGTTAGGTTCCTGGGAAATAGACTCTCCGGGGAAGTTTAGTGTTCAGAATGTTTATTGCGAATGCCTTTGGAATCAATGCCTTTGGCAGTCAAGGGAAGAGGCAGGATTGGGCAGATGGAGAAATTAGCTATGATGGAGGCCTAATAGCCACAACTGGCTTGAAGAAGAGTTCTAGAGCTGAAAGTACCGATCATAGTTGCCCCTGGACTGAAATAGCCAAGCCTTTCTGCTCCAACTTGAGCAGTCACTGGATGGTTCCTGGAAAGAAGCTTCCTCAGAAAAGGAAGTTCTCTGGAGGTCAGGAAACCAATGAAGGGACTGACAGTTGAAGGGTGTCCCTTAACAGCACTCTTAGCCTCTAGAGCACAGATCCTTCTTTGAAAGGGAATCCGGGTGGCAAATTTTAATGTCTACTACACTGCTTTATACACATAGATTAGTTTTTCATCATCTAGTCATGTTTATATATATATAAAACATATATAATATACATATACTATAGACAGACATAGATAGCAGGTTAATTTCCACATTCTTACTTACTCCAATAATAACTAAGCTTACAGGTAAGTTTTACACACACAATACCACACATATACACATATTACACATACACATATTTTAGAAAGGAGATGACATATGACATATAAAACAAATTGGAAAGAATGATGTATTGCCAGAAAGAGGATCGTATTTTTCTCATTTTTTAAAGTGTACACAGGAATAAGAAAGAGAGACTTTTTAGGAAAAATGAGATCAAATATGATTGAAAAGAAGGCTATGTGCTTGAAAGTTATAGATCAATAAAGATGGGGTCAGAAATGGGACTATATTAAAATAGGAGTCTTCTGTACAACAAAGGAAACAATTAACAGAGTGATGAGACAACCTGTGTAATGGGAGAAAATATTTGCAAACCATTTATTTAATAAGAAACTAATATCCAGAATACATTAGTATTCAAGGAACTAGAACAACTCAACAGCAAAAATAAACAACAAATAATACCATCAAAAAGTGGGTAAAGGATCTGAATATACATTTCTCAAAAGAAGACATACAAATGGCCTATGAAAAATGTTCAACATCACAAATCATCAGAGAAATGCAAGTCAAACCCACAATGAAATATCATCTTATCCAAGTTGGAATGGCTATTACCAAAAAACAACAAATGCTAGTAAGGATGAAGAGAAAAGAGAATTCTTATAATACTATTGGTGGGAATGTAAATTAGTACAGCTATCATGGAAAACAGCACAGAGGTTTCTCAAAAAACTAAAAATAGAACTATCATACAATTAGTCCAGCAATCCCGCTACTCATTGTCTCTCCAAAAGAGAGGAAATCAAAGGGATACCTGCACTCTCAGGTTTACTGGAACACTATTCACTACAGCTAAGGTATAGAACCAACCTAAGTTTCCATCAAAGGATAAATAGATAAAATGTGGTATATATACACAATGGAATATTATGTAGCCATTAAATGAATGAAATCCTGTCATTTGCAGCATTATGGATAAAACTGGAGGTTGTCTGTTAAGTGAAATAAGACAGGCACAGAAAGACAAGTATTATGTGTTCTTACTCATATGTGGGCACTTAAAAAGTTTATCTTGTGGAGGTATAGAGTAGAATGGTGGTTACCAGAGGTTGTGAGAAGGGTGTTGGGGGAGTGGAGGGGATTAAGAGAGGTTGGTTAATGTGTAAAAACATATAGTTATTTAGAATGGTTAAGTTCTACTGTTTGATAGCATAGTAGGGCAACTATAGTTAGCAACAATGTCTTATATATTTCAAAATATCTATAAAAGAAGATTTGAAATATTCCTGACACAAAAATGATAGCTATTCTAAGTAACCTGATTTGATCATTACACATTGCATGCATGCATCAAAATATCACATGTACCCTATAAATGGGTACAATGATTATGTATCAATAAAAAAAATGAAGTCAGATTTAATTAAATGTTAAGGTTAATCTCCAAGGTTTATTCTGCAGGAGGAAAAGAAACAGTGGAAGTTTTCAAGCAGCAGAGTTGCAGTAACCAAAACCATAGTTTTTGGTCATATAACCTGAAAAATGAGACCACAAAAATATAAATACATGTTAAAATTCTGATTGATAAATCCAATAAAACTTTTATATTAACAAAAAGAATAACTATTAAAACTTTTGTTAGTATAATTTACCTAAAGGCCATTTCAATAGATTTTGAAAAGTCATTTGATAAAATTAAGTAGTCAGAATTTTAAAACTTCTTTGAAAGGAGCATGCCTTGTAAATGTGAGGAAATACAGAAGAACCATTTGGCTGAGCAAGTGCCTAGCTACTAACCAGTATGTTTAAGCACCATCTACTGAATCACATCCCAAACTTCAATACTAAAAATACTGTGCAAATACATTTCCCAATAACACTAACGACAATAATTCAGCTACAAAAAAACACCCAAGACAAAGTCTCAGCCCTCTGAAAATATCCAGAAACAAAGTCAACTGACTACACTCAAACTACACCACAGTTAAAGGAACATCAGCCCACACAGATGAGAAAGAATCAGCACAAGAACTCTGGCAATTCAAAAAGCCAAAGTGTCTTTTTCCTCCAAATGACTGCACTAGTTCCACTAATGGTGCTTAACCAGGTTGAAATGACTGAAATAACAGGCAAAGAATTCAGAACACGGCTAGAAATAAAGATCATGAAAATTCAGGAGAAACTGAAACCGACTCCAAAGAATCTAAGAATTACAATAAAACAATACAGGAGCTGAAGGTTGAAATGATAATTTTAAGAAAGAACCAAACTGAACTGACAGAGCTGAAAAACACACTACAAGTATTTAATAATACAATCACAAGTATTAACAGCAGAATAGACCAAGCTGAGGAATGAATCTCAGACCTCAAAGATTGCTTCTCAGAAATAACTCAGTCACACAAAAATAAATAAAAAATAATGAACAAAACCTCTGAGAAATATGAGATTATGTGAAGAGATCAAATCTATACTCACTAGTGTTCCTGAAAAAGAGGGAGAGAAAAGGAACTTGTAAAACATATTTCAGGACATCATCCATGATAATTTCCCAAACCTCGTCAGAGAGGCCAACATTTAAATTCAGGAAACACAGACAGAACCCTTGTGAGATACTATACAAGATGACTATCCACAAGACACATAGTTATCAGATTCTCCAAGGCTGACACGAAAGAAAAAATATTAAATGCAGCTAGAGAGAAGGCAGGTAAACCTACAAAGGGAACCTCACCAGGCTAACAGCAGACTTTTCAGCAAAAATCCTACAAGCCAGAAGAGATTGGGGGCCTATATGCAGAACTCTTTTTTTTTTTTTTTGAGACAGAGTTTTGCTCTTGTTGCCCAGGCTGGAGTGCAGTGGCACAATCTTGGCTCACTGTAACCTCCCCCTCTTGGGTTCAAGTGATTCTCCTACCTCAGCCTCCCAAGTAGCTGGGATTATGCACCACCGCACCTAGCTAATTTTGTATTTTTAGTAGAGATGGGGTTTCACCATGTTGGTCAGGATGGTCTCAAATTCTTGACCTCACGTGATCCACCTGCCTTGGCCTCCCAAAGTGCTGGATTACAGGCTGAGCCACTGTACCCAGCTGTATTCAGTATTCTTAAAGAAAAGAAATTCCAACTAAGAATTTCCTATCTAGCCAAACTAAGCTTCATAAGTGAAGGAGAAATAAGATCTTTTTCAGATAAGCAAATGTTAAAGGAATTCGTTACCAACATACCTGCTTTGCAAGAGGTCCTTCAGGGAGTGCTAAATACGGAAACCAAAGACTGTTACTAGCCACCAGAAAAACATTATTTAAGGACATACACCAATGACACTAAAAAGCACCCACACAATCAAGTCTGCATAATAACCAACTAACAACAAGACGACAGCCCTAGAGGAACTGTCAGACCTGAGCTATACAAGGTCACCTTGCCCAAAAGATGGGGCCAGTCCATCTTGGGCACCCCATGGTCTGCTGGCCTCTCCCAGGGCCCCAGCCTGGCTGCACCTGCTTGCAGTACATACACCAGTGACACTATAAAGCAAACAAACAAATCTGCATAATAACCAGCTAACATCATGACAGGATCAAATCAACACATATCAATATTAACCTTGAATGTAAATGGGGGCTAAATGCCCCCATTAAAAGGCACAGAGTGGAAAGCTGGATAAAGAACCAAGATGCATTAGTATGCTATCTTCAAGAGACCCATCTTGCATGCAATGACACACATAGGCTCAAAGTAAAGAAATGGAGAAAAATTTACCAAGAAACTGAGAAACAGAAAAAAGCAGGAGTTGCAATCCTAATTTCAGACAAAACAGACTTTAAACCAAAAAATCAAAACAGACAAGGGAATTACATAACGGTAAAAGTCTCAATTCAACAAGAAGACCTAACTATCCTAAATATATATGCACCCAAAACAGGAGCAACCAGATTCATAAAGTAAGCTCTTAGAGACCTTCAAAGAGACTTAGACTCCCATACAGTAATACTGGAAGACTTTTAACAGCCCACTGACAGTATTAGGACAGATCACTGAGGCAGAAAATTAACAAAGGTATTCAGGACCTAAACCTAGCACTGGGTCAAATGGACCTGGTAGACATCTATAGAACTCACCACTCCAAAATAATAGAATACACATTCTCATTGCCCACATGGGAAATACTCTAAAATCGATCACATAATTGGGAGTAAAACACTCCTCAGCAAATGCAAAAGAACTGAATTCATGATAGTCTCTTGGACTACACAGCAATCAAATTAGAAATCAAGACTAAGAAATTCACTCAAAACCATACAATTACATGGAAATTGAATAACCTGCTACTGAATGACTTTTAGGGAAAAAAAATGGAATTAAGGCAGAAATCAAGAAGTCCTTCGAAACTAATGAGAACAAAGATATAACATACCAGAATCTCTGGGACACAGCTAAGGCAGTGTTAAGAGGGAAATTTATATCACTAAATGCTGACATCGAAAAGTCAAAAAAGATCTGAAGTTAACAACCTAACATCACAACTAAAAGAACCAGGGAACCAAAAGAAAACCAACCCCAAAGCTAGTAGAAGACAAAAAATAACCAAAATCAGAGCTGAACTGAAGGAGACTGAGGCACAAAAAAACATTAAAAAGATCAACAAATCCAGGACAACTCCTGTTTTTTGTTTTTTTTTTAATAAACAAAATAGACTGCTAGCTAGACTAATAAAGAGGAAAAGAGAGAAGAATCAAATAAACACAATCAGAAATAATAAGGGAATAGGAGGTCAGAACAAAAGTTTACAGATCATAAAGACCTTGCTGATAAAACAGGTTGTAGTAAAGGAGGCAGCCAAAACCCACCAAAACCAAAATGGCGACAAGAGTGACCAACCTCAAGTCATCCTCACTGCTACACTCCCACCAGTGCCATGACAGTTTACAAATGACATGGCAATGTCAGGAAGTTACCCTTTTTGGTCTAAAAAGGGGAGGCTTGAATAATCCACCCCTTGTTTAGCATATAATCAAAAATAACCATAAAAATGGGCAACCAGCAGTCCTTTGGGCTGCTCTGTCTATGGAGTAGCCATTTTTTCATCCCTTTACTTTTTAAATAAACTTGCTTTCATTTTGCAAAAACATAAAAAAGAAATGATAAGGGGGATATCACCACTGACCCCACAGAAATACAACCATCAGAGAATACTATAAATGCCTCCGTGCACATAAACTAGAAAATCTGAAAGAAACTGATAACCCTCCCAAGACTGAGCCAAAAAGAAACTGAATCCCTGAACAGACCAATAATGAGGTCTGAAATTGAATCAGTAATAAATAGCCTATCAACCTATTAAAGCCCAGGACCAGAAAGATTCACAACTGAATTCTACCAGATTTACAAAGAAGAGCTGATACCATACCTGCTGAAACTATTCCAAAAAATTAAGGAAGGACTCCTCCCTAACTCATTCTATGAGGCCAGCATCATCCTATTACTAAAACCGGGCAGAGATACAACAAAAAAAGAGAACTACAGGCCAATATTCTTGATGAACATTGATGCGAAAATCGTCAACAAAATACTGGCAAATTGAATCCAGCAGTACATCAAAAAGCCTATCCACCACAATCAAGTAGGCTTTATCCTTGGGATGCAAAGCTGGATCAACATATGCAAATCAATAAATGTGATTCATCACGTAAATAAAACTAAAATAAAAATCTACATGATTACCTCAATAGATGCAGAAAAGGCTTTCGATAAAATTCAACACCCTTTCATGTGAAAAACTCTCATTAAAGTACATATTGAAGGTATATACCTCAAAATAATAATAGCCATCTATGACAAACTTACAGCCAATGTCATAATAAATGGGCAAAAGCTGGAAGCATTCCCCTTGAAAACCGGCACAAGACAAGGATGCCCTCTCTCACCACTTCTATTGAACATAGTATTGGAAGCCCTAGTCAAAGCTATCAGGCAACAGAAAGAAATAAAGAAAGGAAGTCCAATAGACTTCCTTTTAGAAGTCCAAATAGAAATAGAAAGGAAGTCATAACACCCTGTTTTCAGATAACATGATCCTATACCTAGAAAACCCCGTAGTCTCAAAGGCTCCTTAAGCTGATAAACAACTTCAGCGAAGTCTCAGGATACAAAATTAATGTATAAAAATCACTAGTACTCCTATATAACAACAACAGTCAAGCCAAGAGCCAAATCAGAAACATAATCTCATTCACGATTGCCACAGACACACAAAAATATCTAGGAATACTGCTTACCAGGGAGGTGAAAGATCTCTATAAGAACTACAAAACACTTCTCAAAGAAATCAGAGATGACACAAACAAATGGAAAAACATTCCATGCTCGTGAACAGGAAGAATCAGTATCATTAAAATGACCACACTGCCCAAAGCAATTTGTAGATTCAATGCCATTCCTATTACACTACCAATCACATTCTTCACAGAACTAGAAAAGGCTATTTTTAAATTCATATGGAACCAAAAAAAGAGCTCAAATACCCAAGACAATCCTAAGCAAAAACAACAAAGCTGTTCATGCTACTTAACTACAAACTATTATAAACTACAGGGCTACAGCCACCCAAACAGCATGGAACTGGTACAAAAACAGACACATAGACCAATGGAACAGAATAAAGAACCCATAAATAAGGCCACATATCTACAACTATCTGATCTTTGACAAAGCCAACAAAAACCAGCAATGGGAAAAGGACTCTCTATTCAATAAATAGTGCTGGGATAACTGGCTAGCCATATGCAGAAGATTGAAACTGAACCCTTTCCTTGCACCTTATACAAAAGTTAACTCAAGATAGATTAAAGATCAAAATGTAAAACCCAAAACTATGAAAACCCTGGAAGACAACCTAGGTCATACCATTCTGGACGTAGGTATGGGCAAAGATTTCATGACAAAGATGCCAAATGCAATTGCAACAAAAGAAAAAATTGACAAATAGGATCCAATTGAACTAAAGAGCTTCTGCATAGCAAAATAAATTACCAACAGAGTAAACAACCAACCTACAGAATGGGAGAAAATATTTTCAAACTACGCATCTTACAAAGGTCTAATATCCAAAACTCATACGGAACTTAACTAGAAAAAAGCACATAACCCCATTAAAAAGTGGGCAAAAGGCAGGAACTAACAACTTTCAAAAGAAAACATATATGCAGCCAACAAACATGAAAAAAGCTCAACATCACTGATTAGAGAAGTGCAAGTCAAAACCACAATGAGATACCATCTCGCACCCATCAGAATAACTATTATTAAAAAGTCAAAAAATAACAGAAGCTGACGAGGTTGTAGAGAAAAGGGAATGCTTATAATACACAGCTCGTGGGAATATATTAGTTCAGCCACCGTGGGAAGCAGTTTGATGATTTCTGAAAGAACTCAAAAGGAATATATATCATTCTACCATAAAGACACATGTAAATATATGTTCACTGCAGCACTATTCACAATAGCAAAAGCATGGAATCAACCCAAATGCCCATCAGTGGTTGACGGCATAAAGAAAATGTGGTATATATACACCATGGAATACTATGCAGCCCTAACAAACAACAAGATCATGTCTTTTGCAGGTATATGGATCCAGCTGGAGGCCATTATCCTTAGCAAACTAATGCAGGAACAGAAAAACAAATACTGCATACTCTCACTTATAAGTGGGAGCTAAATTATGAGAACTAAATTATGAGAACTCATAGAGGGGAACAACAGACACTGGGGCCTATTGAAGGGTGGATGGCAGGGGGAGGCAGAAAATCAGGAAAAATAACTAATGGCCACTAAGTTTAACACCTGGGTGACAAAATAATCTGTACAACAAACCCACATGTCACAAGTTTATTTATATAACAAACCTGCACATGTACCCCTGAACTGAAAATAAAAGTTAAATTTTTAAAAATAAAGCATTAAATGAGATGGCTAGACCAATGGTGACACACAGTTTTTCTAGCTCTAACATTATATAATTTTAGAACATATTTTTAAAAAGACTAAGTATCTGAAAGTAATTCAAAAGACTTGCCATTTTTATCAAAATCTCAAAGATTTTTAAAATTGGCAAAGTAATCTAAAGGTCATCAAAAAGAATTAATTTTCAAAAGAAGGGGGCTGATGGGGACCTGCGCTACTAAGTATGATATAAATTATTAAATAACCAAAAAATGGAATAGTATACCTTGAAATAAGTCTTCAAATAACTTGTAGTTATGTGAAGATGCCAATACTCAATAATACTGAGTATGAAAAGAAGGTAAGCACAGCTATCTTTAAAACATAGAGATAGATGATAGATTGGTAACAGTAGACTAAAAGGACATTTACAAAAATGTTATCAGTGTTCATCTGTGGAAATGTAGTGTTTATATTTTCTGTGAAAATCCAATTTTCAAAGATGATAAAAACATAGATACATTACCATTATCTTTTTTTTCTTATGGTACTTCTTTAGAAATTCCCCATATCTTTCCAATTTTCTATAAGAACCTTTAAGAAAACAAGAATTCACAGTATATTATATATATGTACCTCCTCTAAAAATAAACAAAATTTTAAATACTTTAAATAAATTATATACAAAATTATTCAATGAAATCAATTAGCAATTTTGATAAGCATATGTTAATACACACTGTTAGCTGAATTAATAATTGGAATTATTATATAAAGTATATCTTGTTTCATTTTTCTGAAATACCATATTCCAACTAACATGTCTGTGGCACTTACTCCTATGTCTAAAGTTTTATGTCAACCCCTCTCTCCTAAAAAAGTCCACATTTTTCAAATAGCTCAGCCACTTACACTTGGTTGTTTCATGGTCACCTTAATTTCAATAAAGTGCAGTACTGTGGAGCATGGCCCAGTGAGACAATATGGTGGGGCTCTGAAGTCAGATAACCTAGATAGACTTGAATCCAAGTTCTGATATCTACATATTGAGGACAATACGTATATAAAACATTACCTTTTCTAGAAAACAGGAGGAAGATATAAAAGGATATGTTCACACTTTGCTTGTGGATATTTTATTTCATTACGAGATGAATTTATACGCACACACGGATGTCTGTATGTGTGTATACAAGATATATATATGTGTGTGTATTTATATATACATACACAGAAGCTATATATAACTTTTATACATTAAAAATATAAAATTTTAAAAATGTATAATTTAAATACAAAAATTTAAAAAGTTAATTTTGAAGTGTATTTAAACACATCTTCAGAATTACACAAATCTAAGTCCAAAAAAGAATATTAAATACGAAAATAACATAATGAATCTAATTTGATATCTAAAAATACTTTATAAGTACAATTAATATCATTTTCAAGACATCTATATGACAAATTTGCCCATTAAATCAAGAATAAGACAAGAATAAGTATTTAAAACTATTCTGGAAATGCTCATACAATTAGATAAGAAAAATGTTATACAAATATCGAAAAGTAAAAATTATCATTACTTGCTGTACGCTTTGTCATTCATGCAGTTATTCCATAGTGAATACCAGCGACTCCTACAAACTAGCCTGCGAGCCCATATAGGTTAACTATCACCCCTTTTACTTTCAGTTTTAGATATTTCTGTTCTATCCTGACCCTTGCTGATATGTTTGTTTCCAGTAGGAATATTAATTGATGCAATCTTGCTCTCCTGTTTTTGTAATACTCTGTACCTCCACTCCACTTTAACAAAAGCTTAACAGTTTAACAACTGTTTTAAGGCTTTGTTTTAGTAATGCTTCCTTTGAAACCACATATTTATGTTCAACTAAAAAAATCTGTATTGAACCATTTTGAAATGAAGAGGTTTTAAAATAAGATATTTTTAAAATTTATTTTATACCTTGGAATTTCATTATTTATGAGATTACACACAAACACACACACACACAGACAACTGACCAACCATTACTTTACTAATACAAAAAATAAGGACGGGCCAGGTGCACTGGCTTATGCTTGTAATTCCAACACTTTTGGAGGGTGACTCAGGAGGATCACTCGAGGCCAAGATTTGGAGATCAGCCTGGGAAACATAGTGAGACTCCATTTCTATAAAAGATAAAAATAAATAAGGCTCACTTGTCTCAGAAATCATGCTTTTCCACTTAAATATTTTAGAGGTGTGGTTTTGCAAAATAAGTGAATATTCCTTTAATTTTGATTCCATGATCAAAAGTGCTTCAAATATTCGAGGAACATTTTCCCATAGGTGTGTATAAATTGAAACAAATGAACTATCTTCTTTTATTTTTTTCAGAGTACATGACCATTCATCATCATCTCTAAAATGGATTTCCCTTGGCCAATAATCCTGCAAAAAATGTGAAAGAGAGAATACAGCTTAAGTCATTTTTAATGAATTTAAATAATAAAGTTCAAAACCAATGAGCTATAATTGAGATTTTATTCCACAGAATTGTTTTTAAATTACTTTTTAAAAATTTGAAACAATCACAAACATCATAAAAGTTACAAGTGCTTTACTAAAACTATTTTCCTGAATCATTTCAGAATAATTTGCTTATATGATAGCCCATCATCCTTTAAAACTTCAGTGTATAGTTCCGAAAACCAAAAACATTCTCCTACATAATAAATGCAACCATTAAAATCAGGAAATTGGCACTGATACATTATTTATATTTAATACAAAGACTCTACTCAAGTTTCAGTGGAACCAATTATGCCCTTTATAGCAAAAGAATCTAGTTCAGAATAAAAATGTTAGGTTTTGACTTCATGTCTCTTTGGTCCCTTTCAGTCTATGACTGTTCCATGGTATCTGTGGGGATGCGAAGGGAGAAGATTAGAAGAGATAATTTTAATTTATTTTCATTTATTTTCTAGTTTTATTAAAGCATAAAATTTTAAATATTTATGGTGCACAATGTGAAGCTTCGATAAATGTATACACTGTGCAATGACTGCCAAAAAGGTAATTAACATATCCATCACCTCGCACAGTTAACATGTGTGTTGAGAACATTTAAGATCCACTCTTTTAGCAATTTTCAAGTACACAATACATTATTATTAACTATGATCATCATGCTGACCAATTGATCCCCAGAATTTATCTATTCTGTCTGAAACTTCCCACCCTTTAATCCATTTCTCCTTTTCTTTCACAAGCCCCAGTAAGACTCCATTCTACTTTCTGCTCCTATGAGTTCCATTTTTATACATTGCACTTATAAGTGAGGTCATGCCACAGTTTCCTTTCGGTGCCTGGCTTATTTTTTACATAAGCTGGGATCCATGGCAAAGTTATGTGCTCAGTTCACTCTCCTTTCCCTTTCCCACATGAAAGGTATCTCCCTCCACACTGTTTTGCCCTTGCTTGGTAACTTGAAAATGTCCTTCCTAACCTCTTCAAGGTATCTTTTCTTATTTCTGTGCTACGCCTAGGACTCCCATATAGTGAAGGCTAGTAATATCTCAGCTGGATTCCTTAGCTCTTATAAAGGTCTTTTTCTCGCAAAGATAGTTGTTCAAATTGATATTTCTGCAAAGGGATAAAGGCTATTTTGCCATCTTCCTGGAGTCATTCCTCCTCAGTCTTTTTCTTTTTCTTTTTTTTTTTTTTTACTTTTATATATTCAAAGCCATGAGTTCACACTGATGCCTCTAATTCCAATTCTAACCATTCTAGTTTTCTCTCTTTCCATATTATAATTGCCATCCCTAACAATTAAAAACCTAGCTGCCATTATCTTTAATATATTTACTCATTTGATCAATCCTTTTATGTAACCAATCTCTCATATTTGCTCCCAGACTCTTCCCTACATGGATACCCTTTTCATACTACTTGGGCTCTAATACTCCATGTCAGGTTGCCAATTCTGCGAGGACATCCTCCTTACCCCCATTTGATCTCTGACCTCCCACATCAGAGTGAAGGCTACCTTCCTCTTCTCCCTTTATGTATGAATATCATCATCATTCCCTTGGATTCTGATACCTGTGGTGTCACATGGACATCCTCCTCACCATTGTTGGACTCAGAAATCTTGCTCAGGGCCACCACAGCAAACCCTTCTTTCTCAATGTGGAAGCCTGCCTTGTGTGGCCGCCAAATAGCTTTAATACTAAATTGTTTAGGAAAGGAAGGAGATGGAATCAAAGGGAAACAAGGGAAATGAAGAGAAGAAGGGAAGTGGAACCACAACATTAATATTTGCAAATCTAAGTATAAGATCTTTTAATATAATCAAATAATAGCAAAACAAAGAAAGTCAACATAATTAAAAGCTTATGAATAAGAGAATACGTTTTGGAATGGTGGGAGACTTGTGTAGGATGAAACTCTGCAATGGAGTTTGGGTAAAATACACTGGGGACTTAGCTTAAGAGGAAGAAATCTGAAGTCTGCAGATCAGAAATTTCAAACCCACTTAGGGCTGTGCCATCTCCTTTTCTCTTCCTTTAAAAGCAATCCTAAACTCATCATACACGTGTTCATTTATTAACTGTGCTAACAGTAAGATATGAAAATAATACCCAGTGTTTAACACTGGAAAACTTTTCCAAAAAGGTCCCTCTGTCATTTTGAAAAAAAGAGTGTTATATAAATACGTAAGTGCCCTCTTTCAAATCCTGTAAATGTGTATCTTAAATAAGACACATAGCCACTTGGGAAAGTTTTCCAGCATTGAAATGTGGAAAATTGTGTCAAAAATTTAAAAGACTTTGAAGAATAAGAAAAGGTCACAGGGCAAAATCCCTGAAGACAAACACTGTCAATTTAGAATGGCAGATACTTTGAAAACATAGTCCTTATGAGTCATGTGTTGCTGTTGTTAGGGGAGTTGAGAGAGTAGGAAGAGGCTAAAAGGAATTTGAAAAGATGTTATAATATGTACAAATCTTTATGAAAATGTATTCTTTATGTCAGGCTTGAGATATCACAATCCTTTTTCCCAAGATATTGAAATATTATGAGCTGAATAAAGTTTCCAGAAATTCTACAAGGCTGATGAGACTCTGTCTTCTCTACATTACCCAGGTAATCAAGGGATTGACTGGTATCCCAAAGCCATTAATACAAAGAAGGTGATTTTTAAATTCTTTTAATGAATTCTTTGTGGCTGTATTATTAAATGGATACCAGATGATTATATTGAAGTAGATCATATCTTATAGCAGATCATAATCTATTTTCCCCATTTCATTTCTCTATTACCTTCCTTCCTTATTCCTTTATATTTTGCCTTCAGTAAGATACCTCTTGAATAGAGTGTTATCTAAAAAATAAATTTTGTGGCCAGACCTAAAAAGGCAAACTGAGTCAACTAGCAGCTAACAGGCAGATGAGATGTCAGGCAGCTCATACTGCCAGAAAGGAAATCAACACTACTACTAGAGTATGAGCATCCAGAGTCTATGGTGATTATATTAATTAAAAGTAAATAAATGTATTCAAATCCCAAAGGAACAAAAGAATTGGACTAGAAGTTATTGTTCCCTATGGAGTTAAATTCTACATTATAGTACTGTGGTCCTTACTGATAAGTAAGAAGAACATTTATCTTATTTAAAACAGGGTCAGTGAAGCAAGAACTGGCTATGTCTTTGTTATGTTTATTTTAATTACTGCAATTAACTATGGCAGTGGCAGAAGCACAAATTATTATATGCTAATACAAAACTAGAGATGGAGAAGGAAGAGTAGACAGACAAAAGGGCTCTCGTGGAGTTTAGAGACGAATTTTTTTTATTGAATATATAGTTAAATCTTCACCCATGTCCCAAAGCCCAAGAGACAATGCTGAAGTATCAAACAAAAGGTAAGAAATAAGAAGCATGACTAGAATTAGTAGGAAAAGTGACTATTATTTAGCTCTTCTTCCCTTATATTAAGCTTTGATATAAGGATTTAAATGGATTAATGAATAAATAAATGAATAAACAAATAAGCAAATAAATCAGGCTATTCCCTCAATAAAGAGAATGGGATTGAAATAATTATTTTCTCTATCATAAAATAATTTTGATCCTCTAAGAAAAATCATAGCATGGATCTGAGTACTCTCCAGATACAGATTACAAATCTAACAGGCCTGTTAACAAAAATTAACATTGATGAACTAAGAGAAGATGAATTAAAGTTCTACCAGATAAAAGTTGCATGGACACAGAAAAAAGGTAGTCAGAAATAAATAACACGAAAAATAAAAAGTATAATAAATAAATATGGAAGAAATTGGAATCAATATTTTAGTACTTGAAGAACCAAAAAGAGTTTTTTAAAGTGTGATAGTAAAGAGAAATGAGACAAAAAGGAGGAAGATAATACAGATTCCGTAAGAGTAGAAATTTTTGTCTTTGTTCATTGCTGTAACTCCAGTGTCCAGAAAAATATTGCACAAATAGTGGGTAGTGAACAGAAATAACTAAACGAGTGAATGAATAGGATAAGTAAGAGAGCTGACACTGATACAACAATAGTGGAAAAAGAAGTTATAAAAATAAACTATAAAAATATTTTTATAAAAATAAAACTAGAAACAGAATTGTGATGGAGTAAAGGGAATGTGGGAAATGATCAACAGAGAAATGAGAGGATAAAAACAACTGAAGATAAAAAGATAACACGGAAGTATAACAGGAGATAGGAAGAGGTGAAAGAGAGTAGATGATATAAAATATTAAAATTACCAAAAAAGATAGAAATGGTAGGAACTGGCAAAAAAGAGAAGACTTTAGATGATATGATAAAAGATTAAGTAGAAGACAAGAGAAACCAGTAGCTAACATGTAGGTTGCAAGTACTGTTATAATGCTAGTTAATAGCAGAGCTTGGATTAATAATATGCTTCAATTCTAAAAGAATAACAGCTCCACGAGGGCAGGCATCTTTGCTTGTTTTTATTCACTGATGTATCTTAAGCATCTATGTGCCTGGCACATAGCAGGTGTTCAAAAATATTTCTTAAATGAATTCATGACAGTCACTACTTTTTTTTTTTTTTTTTTTTTTTGAGACGGAGTCTTGCTCTATCACCCAGCTGGAGTGCAGTAGCGCAATCTCGGCTCACAGGAAGCTCCGCCTCCCAGGTTCACGTCATTCTCCCGCCTTAGCCTCCGGAGTAACTGGGACTACATGCGCCCGCCACTACGCCCGGCTAATTTTTTTGTGTTTTTTAGTAGAGACGGGGTTTCACCGTGTTAGCCAGGATGGTCTCTATCTCCTGACCTCATGATCCACCCGCCTCAGCCTCCCAAAGTGCTGGGATTACAGGCGTGAGCCACCGCGCCCGGCCAGCAGTCATTACTTTTTTACCATCGTCTATTAGACAAAGACTTTGTATAGCAAACAAAAAATTAAACATCTAGTGATTTTATTCCTGAATATTTTCAAATATCCAATAGTTTGGCAACGTATAAACATACTCAAACCATAAAAAATAACTACAGAATGTGAGTATTTGGTTGTGAAATTCAGACAATAAGAAAAGATTTACAGATAAACCTATAAATGACAAAATGATACAAATGGATATGTTGTTTTATCAAATGCTATCTGATAAAAATTGAAGGCTATAAATACAGCCTTTGAATACAAATATAAATATGTCCTTTGCATACAAAGATGATACTACTGACATACTATTAATAAGACATGGTTTGATTTGGTTTTATCCTATATTTAGTGAAGAGCTGGCATAAACCTATTATCTTGATTTGATTGGTATCACTCTCAATTTAAACACAGGGATTACATATTTACTACTTCAAATAATTAGAATTTTTTATTTAAAATCATAGGTCCTCAAACATGTATAATAATACAGTCTCCATTATTTGCTGAATTTAGCTTAATTTTAACTTAAAACTTAAAACATTAAAAAGTCCTGAAACATTGTCATTAGGCTGCAGCACATTTGCATCATTATTTAAATCAAAAATAGTTACAAAAAGTTTGTCCTAAAAGTATTTCAACATACTTAGCTACACCATGTGACTGAAGTAAACTTTTGTAACTAGGAATGTTTTCATCCAAGCGCATTCCTTTCCCAAAACATTGAAAGTAAAAACAAAAAAACCAAAAAAACAAAACAAAACAAAAAAAATCTTATCTAAACAAATATAAAAACAGAAAATATATATTTAAAAGTAGATATTTCCGAAACTACATTGTTAGCAGTTTAATCACAGCAAACACTATTTATATTTAAGCATAAATAAATGTAGATTATTTATATTCCAATCCACTCAAAATACAAACATACCTCATTAAAAAGCCATCTTTTCTCTGTTTTCTATACTGACATGTTTATTCTGACCCTTACTTGACATTCCTCAATGCAAAACAAATATGACCTTCACACTTGCAGGTGCATGGATCCAAGGCAAGACTTAGCGAGTCCAAAACTCCAGGCGAAGTCAATAATTAAACATAACAATGGAAACTGAACTTTCAACAGGAAAACACATTTTGAATTTTTCACTCTGATTCAATAATCAGGGAATATTGATGTAACACCTCTACAAATTACCTGTCTCAGGTGTGGTGCATAAATAAATGAGGTAAGTAAGCATAATTGTTGGATATTCTTTAAGGTGTAAATACATAAGACAAAAATCTTACATTAACAAAAGTATATAGAAATGTCTGTATAGGGCTAGAATTTTTTTAATGTGAAAAAGAGAATAGAATGTTGACAAGAGGGAAAGACTACAACATACAGCCTACTCAAAGGACATAAGTATTTATATACACACTTTCCACATTGAAACATATTTCAGAAATTTCTAGTCTTAAAGTTTGTTCTAAGCCTTCTACATCTCCATAACTGATATTTTAAAATGATATATTGGCACAGAAAATAAGATGCTCTACTCACCCAATTTTGAAACTTTAAGAATTCTTCAATGCTCTTTGGAGGTTCTTGCATTTTCTAATAAAGTAATATCAATATTGTTTATTGGCATTAACTCACTAGACTATTCATAATATTTACAAATAATTTACTCAAATGAAAAAATACTCTAAGTTATCACTTTTAGAGCAGGAAGATATCATAAAATGTTCACTTTGTACCATCCCTCCACTTTGAAAAGGGACACACATAAATGTTTAAATTCTTAGCCTCCAAACCAAATTTTATAATAGGCTTCCCTTTTATACACTAGCCCTAGAGAAAAACTCCACATGAATCTTGCTTAAGGTCCTCATTTCAGATTCCTAAAAGAGTTCCAAGATATTTTGGGCTATCATGGATAGTCTCTATAATAAATCCAGAGCCAAAAATATAATATGTTCTTGCTGATAAAGTATTTTAAAAAGTTAACTAGTTACATAGTTAAAATAAATTTAAATGTTTGGATGTTCCAGTCTAATAGAAAAAAGTCACATTTTTAGTATTCTTTGTGATTTCAAATGTATTCAACATTAGACAAACTAATTTTAATCCAGACCACATCTTTCTCCTTTGTGCCTTAGAGACTTTGCCTACATTCTTTCTTCTGCCTAGAAGTCTCCCTTTCCCAAACCCTCTTCTTCCAATCCTTTCTTGGCCTATTTAACTCTTACTTCAAATAACAAATTAAAAGTCACTTTGTCCATCAAGCCTTTCTTATCCCCCACAGTTTTCTCCATGGTAACATACAGCAGATTATCTCTATGAGGACAGAAACTATGGTGCAATCACAGTTTCACACAGTGGCTGGTTCATAGTCAATGCATAATAAGTACTTGCAGTGTGCATAAATGAAAGCATAAATGAGTAGATGAATGTCAGAAATGTATAGGTACTTGAAAAATAATAAAAATACTTCTAGAGAATGAAAATCCAGTGAGAAGGCAATAATAAGAAGAATTCAGAAGTCTAATGCCCTAATATCCATGGTGATATCACTGAAAAGATTGTATTACATTTTTATTTATTAAAACACATATTTCGTATCAATATATAAAGTGGTCAAGATTACAGAATCACATGTTCATGTTTTAGAAAATAATTTCTAAAAAATAATTACATATTTGAGTTGGGGGATATTTCATTCATCTAAATATATGATGAGTATAAGAAAATATATAACTGATAATACAAGAAGAAGATAAACAGTGTATGTGACAACCATTATAGAAAATGAGTATTCAGTGAGGGTTAAAAAATTAAACAATTGAACTCATGGAGATAGAGGTAGAATGATGGTTGCCAGAGGCCGGGAAGGGAATGGAAAGTGGGGGAAAGTAGGTATGGTCAATGGGTACAAAAATATAGTTTAGGGTCAAGCACAGTAGCTCATGCCTCTAATACCAGCACACTTTGGGAGGCCAAGACAGGAGGACTGCTTGAGCCCAGGAGTTTGAGACCAGCTTGGGCAACACAGCAAGAGCCCATCTCCATAAAAAAGAAAAAAAAAGTAAAACAAAACAAAACAGAGTGTCCAGGCATGGTGGCTCACGTCTGTAATCCCAGCACTTTGGGAGGCCAAGGCAGGTGGATTGCTTGAGGTAAACAGTGCCAGAGACCAGCCTGGCCAACGTGGTAAAACCCCCGTCTCTACTAAAAACACAAAAAAAGTAGCCAGGTGTCCTAGCTACTCGAGAGGCTGAGATGGGAGAATCGCTTGAACCCCAGAGGCGGAGGTTGCAGTGAGCCAAGATTGTGCCACTATACTCCAGCCTGGGTGACACAGCGAGACTCTCTCTAAAAAACAAACAGACAAATAAAAAGAGCTAGAGAGAATGAATATGATCTAATATTTGATAGAACAATTGGCTAACTATAGTCAACAATAATTTAGTGTACCTTTTGAAATAAATAAAAGAGTATAATTGGAATGTCTACAACACAAATAAATGATAAATGCTTGAAATGATGGATACCCCGCTTACTCTGATATAATTATTATATACTGTATGTACCAAAAGTTATCTCATGTATGCCATAAATATATATATACTTACAATATACCCTTAAAAATTAAAAATAAAGATTTAAAAAAGGAAAACAAATGTTTAGACAGAAGCAAAGATGCATAGAGATGTGAAGAAAATGTTATGGGAAACAGGGAACTCTAGAGCTGGTCTGATTGAAAAGAGTAAGAGATATGAGAGACGGTGTGCACAAAAAGCTTACAGACAGAAAAATACTCATGATATAATATCTTCAGGGATAGCGGGTATAGCAGTTTGGCTAAAAGGAACTTGCAATACATTTACAAATGTACGGAATTAAACTTAATGAAAACAATTTAAGTATTGACTTTTTTTTCTTATAATGGCTGTCAAACCACTCCAAGTACAAAGCACCACAAGTAATATGCACATTTAATTAAAGGGAATTAGAAAAGTGGATTAAGAAAGTGAAACTTGCATAGTGAAGTTCTAACTAATTTCAAAAATTCCATGTTTCTCTTGGGGTAAAATTAAAATAAGGTACAGTATAAATTAAATAGATTTCTACTTTTGGTAGGATGTAGAAGGATATAAAACACCTATACTTCCATGATAACAGTAAGACAAACTTGGACCAAAAAAAAAAAATCACACTTTTCTATGAGATTAGTGAAAAGTGGTGAATGACAGGAGGCAGGACCAGTTAAATAACTTGTAAACATTCAGAGTCCCTTGTTCAAAATTATTAAGAGTTTGAAGATAATAACATCAGAGCATTAGACCAAATGCATGGTACTTCTCAGCATAAGGCCCTGTGCAACTGCAGAAATTGTAAACCCATGAAGCTGAAAACAAGCGTAATTGTCCTATAGAATTAATGTTTATGGTTTCTTTAAATAAATATAGAAATTAATCCTCCTAGTCTTAAAACTTAAGAAGGTTACATTGGTCTTATCTGAGTTCCTTTCCCAGAAAACTAACCATCAAGCCTCCCAGATAGTGTCAAGGAACTAAAACGTACCAAATCACTATATCTTGACAATTAGCCTCTAGACTCCTTACCATCGCCCATCATGATTGCCTAACTGACCACCTGTTTCCTGTTAACCAACTCCTCCTCCCCACCACTCCCTAATTTCTGTTTTCCCACACATGGTTACATTTCTTCCCTGCTCTAAAAAACTCTAATTTTAGTTAGTCAGGGAGATGGATTTGAGACTGATCTCCCATCTCCTTGGCTTCAGCACCCTATTAAAGCTTTCTTCCTTGGCAATACTCATCTCAGTGATTGGCTATGTATGCAGCGAGCATTAAGACCTAGACCAAACCCTTGGTGTTTCACTAACAAAGCCAGCTCTACCTGGGAGCCCTGATTACCTAAAACTCCAAGAGAAATATAAACTTTGTAAGTGAACGTAAAGCTGTGGAAGCTTCCTTACCTTGGGGCCAGCTCTGCTGCTCTTCCTTTGACATGTTCGTTGGCCTGCCATGGTACAGTAACTTTGCAGAAATGAAGAGAAATCAGCTGGGTCTTAGGCATCAATGTGAGTTGGTCGACCAAACTGGGGTATGAAAGATACCCAAATGCAAAAATAAATGACTCAGCCAAACAATCCCTTTTCCCCTCACCTCCAAACCTCACTTCTGACTTTTACCAAGTCATACAGTTTAACTCTGTATCTCCACTCAAATCTCACGTTGAACTGTTGGAATCCCCAGTGTTGGAGGTGGGGCCTGGTGGGAGGTGACTGGATCATGGGGGTGGTTTCTAAAGATTTTGCAACATCCCCCCAGTGCTGTTTTGTGATAGACTTCTCACAAGATCTGGTTGTTTAAAAGTGTGTAGCACCTCCCCCTTCACCCTTTTCCTCCTGCTCCAGCCATGTAGGACGCGTCTGCTTCCCCTTCACCTTCTGCCATGATTGTGAGTTTCCTGAGGCCTCCCCATCCATGCTTCCTGTACAGCCTGTGGGACTATGAGTCAATTAAACTTCTTTTCTTTAAAATTACCCAGTCTCCGGTAGTTCTTTATAGCAATGTGAGAATGGACTAATGCACCAAGAAAGCAGCAGGGGACGAGGGGCTGGAAAACATATTCTGCTCATGAAGCTGGAGGTTCTACTATGTCATATGACAAAGGGCATGCATATAACAAGAAATGGACAAGGGAAAGCTAATAATATAAGCTATTATACTGTTTATAAGAAAAATTGGTCTGAATTTTTCTATCTTATAATATGAAGATTTGGAATTAAGGCTATTATGGTCTCAAAAAAAATGAGTTGGGAAATGCCTCTGTTTTTTCTATTACCTGAAAGAATTTAAAAATCTGAAAGATCAGTACTATTCCTTCCTTTCTTCCTTAAATGTTTGGTGGACACTGCTAGTTATGTTCCCTGAACCTGAACCTGAAATTATGGGGGAGTTTTAAATTAAGGATACTGTAATGGATCTAATCATGCCCCCACCCCAAATTCATATGTTGAAGCCCTAACATTTAACAATATGTGACTTTATTTGGAGATGGAGTCTTTGAGGAGACAATTAAGGTTAAAAGAGGCTAAAAGAGGGGGGCTCTAATATGATTGGTGTCATTATAAGAACAGACACCAGAGAGCTTGCTTGCTCATGTTCTCTCTCCATATACACGCAAATATTTTATCTGTGAAGGTATCTAGAACTGTGAAATAATAAACTTTGTGTTGTTTTAAATCACTTTGCTTGTTTGCTGTTACAGCAGCAATAAGAAACTAATATGAGGCGAAAGAGTGAATTTTTTTTTTTTTTAGTATTTTGCAGATGTGAAAAATGTCACACACTTAACTGATGCTCTGTCTATATAAGAGAAGAGGCTTTGTAAGGACGTGGTGAGAAGGCAGTGGTCTACGAGCCACGAAGAGAGGCCTCACTAGAAACTAACACTGATGGCACCTTGGTCTTGGACTTTTGGCCTTTAAAACTGTGAGAAAATAAACTACAGTTGTTAAGTCATCCACTCTGTGGTATTGTATTATAGCATCCTAGGCAGACTAATACATAAGCTATCAAAATTAATATAGGATCATTCAGCTATTCTATTACTTCTTAATTTTGGTAAATTATCTTTCAAGAAAAATTAAAATGTCAGGTATTTTGATATAAATATTTATTCTTAATATCCTCTTATTGTCTTTACAATCTGTAGTGTCTGTGGTGATGTTTTTCATTTCTGAAATTTGTACTTTTCTTTGTCTTGGTCAGTCTAGCTAAAGGCTTATCAATTTTATTAATCTTTGCAAAGAACTAGTTTTGGCTTTGTTGCTTTTCTTTAGTGCATATTTGTTTTTAATTTCATTGATTTATTCTTATCTTTATTGTCCCTTTCCTTCTTTAAATGTTTGAGAAACTTCCAATGATAAACCCTGCTCTACCATGAAGCTGAATGCTTGACAATTCCTGTTCAGACACCATGAGGCTTTCTATCACCATTTTAATCCCTGTATTTCAAAATGGATAGAAAGTTAAAGATTATTAGATATTTATGGAATAATTGTGAAATAAAAAACATAAAAACAAAAAAATAGAAATCAAAAAAATGACTAAAAATAAAATCTAGGCATGTACAGACAATGTGGGGAACAGAACGAAACTTCAAAAAAGTCTTTAAGATTCTTAGAGAGCTATAATAAGATAATGCATCCCTGAAACCAAAACTTCATGTTATAAATGAATACAGAAGAGAAAATGCAAAGTACAAATATAATGATATAAATTATCCAACAACAGTCTAGTGAAAAACAGCTGAAGAAATCTTCTAGAAACTAGAACAAAAATGTTAAAGTAAGCAAGAATCAGAGGATAAAAGAACAGTAAGTTAGAGGATTATGCCAGGAAAATGACTTTCAATCTGTAAATTTAAATATAGACAGAGCATCAATTGTGTGGCATTTTTCAGATTTCCAAGATACTAAAAAAAAAAAAATTCTCCTCATAGTAGTTTCTTATTGCTGCTGTAACAAACAGCAAAGTGCCTTAAAAAATCACAGTTTATTGATTCTTCCTATCCATGAGCATGGTATGTTCTTCCATCTGTTTGTGTCCTCTTTTATTTCACTGAGCAGTGGTTTGTAGTTCTCCTTGAAGAGGTCCTTTACATCCCCTGTAAGTTGGATTCCTAGGTATTTTATTCTCTTTGAAGCAATTGTGAATGGAAGTTCATTCATGATTTGACTCTCTGTTTGTCTGTTACTGGTGTATAAGAATGCTTGTGATTTCTGCACATTGATTTTGTATCCTGAGACTTTGCTGAAGTTTCTTATCAGCTTAAGGAGATTTTGGGCTGAGACAATGGGGTTTTCTAAATATACCATCATGTCATCTGCAAACAGGGACAATTTGACTTCTTCTTTTCCTAACTGAATACCCTTGATTTCTTTCTCTTGCCTGATTGCCCTAGCCAGAACTTCCAACACTATGTTGAATAGGAGTGGTGAGAGAGGGCATCCCTGTCTTGTGCCAGTTTTCAAATGGAATTTTTCCAGTTTTTCCCCATTCAGTATGATATTGGCTGTGGGTTTGTCATAAATAGCTCTTATGATTTTGAGATACGTTCCATCAATACCGAATTTTTTGAGAATTTTTAGCATGAAGGGCTGTTGAATTTTGTCAAAGGCCTTTTCTGCATCTATTGAGATAATCATGTGGTTTTTGTCTTTGGTTCTGTTTATATGCTGGATTACGTTTATTGATTTGCATATGTTGAACCAGCCTTGCATCCCAGGGATGAAGCTCACTTGATCATGGTGGATAAGCTTTTTGATGTGCTGCTGGATCCGGTTTGCCAGTATTTTATTGAGGATTTTTGCATTGATGTTCATCAGGGATATTAGTCTAAAATTCTCTTTTTTTGTTGTGTCTCTGCCAGGCTTTGGTATCAGGATGATGTTGGCCTCATAAAATGAGTTACGGAGGATTCCCTCTTTTTCTATTGATTGGAATAGTTTCAGAAGGAATGGTACCAGCTCCTCCTTGTACCTCTGGTAGAATTCAGCTGTGAATCCATCTGGTCCTGGACTTTTTTTGGTTGGTAGGCTATTAATTATTGCCTCAATTTCAGGGCCTGCTATTGGTCTATTCAGGGATTCAGCTTCTTCCTGGTTTAGTCTTGGGAGAGTGTAAGTGTCCAGGAAATTATCCATTTCTTCTAGATTTTCTAGTTTATTTGCGTAGAGGTGTTTATAGTATTCTCTGATGGTAGTTTGTATTTCTGTGGGGTCGGTGGTGATATCCCCTTTATCATTTTTTATTGCGTCTATTTGATTCTTCTCTCTTTTTGTATTAGTCTTGCTAGCGGTCTATCAATTTTGTTGATCTTTTCAAAAAACCAACTCCTGGATTCATTGATTTTTTTGGAGGGTTTTTTGTGTCTCTATCTCCTTCAGTTCTCCTCTGATCTTAGTTATTTCTTGCCTTCTGCTAGCTTTTGAATGTGTTTGCTCTTGCTTCTCTAGTTCCTTTAATTGTGATGTTAGAGTGTCAATTTTAGATCTTTCCAGCTTTCTCTTGTGGGCATTTAGTGCTATAAATTTCCCTCTACACAATGCTTTAAATGTGTCCCAGAGATTCTGGTATGTTGTATCTTTGTTCTCATTGGTTTCAAAGAACATCTTTATTTCTGCCTTCATTTCGTTATGCACCCAGTAGTCATTCAGGAGCAGGTTATTCAGTTTCCATGTAGTTGAGCGGTTTTGATTGAGTTTCTTAGTCCTGAGTTCTAGTTTGATTGCACTGTGGTCTGAGAGACAGTTTGTTATAATTTCTGTTCTTGTACATTTGCTGAGGAGTGGAGTGCTTACTGTCCAAGATAACTTATAGATTCAATGCCATCCCCATCAAGCTACCAATGAGTTTCTTCACAGAATTGGAAAAAACTGCTTTAAAGTTCATATGGAACCAAAAAAGAGCCCGCATTGCCAAGACAATCCTAAGTCAAAAGAACAAAGCTGGAGGCATCACGCTACCTGACTTCAAACTATACTACAAGGTTACAGTAACCAAAACAGCATGGTACTGGTACCAAAACAGAGATATAGACCAATGGAACAGAACAGAGTCCTCAGAAATAATACCACACATCTACAGCCAGCTGATCTTTGACAAACCTGAGAAAAAGAAGAAATGGGGAAAGGATTCCCTATTTAATAAATGGTGCTGGGAAAATTGGCTAGCCATAAGTAGAAAGCTGAAACTGGATCCTCTCCTTACTCCTTATACGAAAATTAATTCAAGATGGATTAGGAACTTAAATGTTAGACCTAATACCATAAAAACCCTAGAAGAAAACCTAGGTAATACCATTCAGGACATAGGCATGGGCAAGGACTTCATGTCTAAAACACCAAAAGCAATGGCAACAAAAGCCAAAATTGACAAATGGGATCTCATTAAACTAAAGAGCTTCTGCACAGCAAAAGAAACTACCATCAGAGTGAACAGGCAACCTACAGAATGGGAGAAAATTTTTGCAATCTACTCATCTGACAAAGGGCTAATATCCAGAACCTACAAAGAACTCAAACAAATTTACAACAAAAAAACATACAATCCCATCAAAAAGTGGGCAAAGAATATGAACAGACATTTCTCAAAAGAAGACATTCATACAGCCAATAGACACATGAAAAAATGCTCATCATCACTGGCCATCAGAGAAATGCAAATCAAAACCACAATGAGATACCATCTCACACCAGTTAGAATGGCAATCATTAAAAAATCAGGAAACAACAGGTGCTGGAGAGGATGTGGAGAAACAGGAACACTTTTACACTGTTGGTGGGATTGTAAACTAGTTCAACCATTATGGAAAACAGTATGGCGATTCCTCAAGGATCTAGAACTAGAAGTACCATATGAGCCAGCCATCCCATTACTGGGTATATACCCAAAGGATTCTAAATCATGCTGCTATAAAGACACATGCACACGTATGTTTATTGCGGCACTATTCACAATAGCAAAGACTTGGAATCAACCCAAATGTCCATCAGTGACAGACTGGCTTAAGAAAATGTGGCACATATACACCATGGAATACTACGCAGCCATAAAAAAGGATGAGTTTCAAACAAATTTACAAGAAAAAAAACAAAAAACCCCATCAAAATGTGGGCAAAGGATATGAACAGACATTTCTCAAAAGAAGACATTCATACAGCCAAGAGACACATGAAAAAATGCTCATCATCACTGGCCATCAGAGAAATGCAAATCAAAACCACAATCAGATACCATCTCACACCAGTTAGAATGGCAATCATTAAAAAGTCAGGAAACAACAGGTGCTGGAGAGGATGTGGAGAAATAGGAACACTTTTACACTGTTGGTGGGATTGTAAACTAGTTCAACCATTATGGAAAACAGTATGGCGATTCCTCAAGGATCTAGAACTAGATGTACCATATGACCCAGCCATCCCATTACTGGGTATATACCCAAAGGATTATAAATTATGCTGCTATAAAGACACATGCACACGTATGTTTATTGCAGCACTATTCACAATAGCAAAGACTTGGAATCAACCCAAATGTCCATCAGTGACAGATTGGATTAAGAAAATGTGGCACATATACACCATGGAATACTATGCAGCCATAAAAAAGGATGAGTTTGAGTCCTTTGTAGGGACTTGGATGCAGCTGGAATCCATCATTCTTAGCAAACTATCACAAGAACAGAAAACCAAACACCGCATGTTCTCACTCATAGGTGGGAACTGAACAATGAGATCACTCGGACTCAGGAAGGGGAACATCACACACCGGGGCCTATCATGGGGAGGGGGGAGGGGGGAGGGATTGCATTGGGAGTTATACCTGATGTAAATGACGAGTTGATGGGTGCAGCACACCAACATGGCACAAGTATACATATGTAACAAACCTGCACGTTATGCACATGTACCCTACAACTTAAAGTATAATAATAATAAATAAATTAAAAAAAAAAAAAAAAAGAAAAAAGGATGAGTTTGTGTCCTCTGTAGGGACATGGATGCAGCTGGAAACCATCATTCTAAGCAAACTATTGCAAGAACAGAAAACCAAACACCGCATGTTCTCACTCATAGGTGGGAACTGAACAATGAGATCACTTGGACTCGGGAAGGGTAACATCATACACCGGGGCCTATCATGGGGAGGGGAGGGGGGGAGGGATTGCACTGGGAGTTATACCTGATGTAAATGACGAGTTGATGGGTGCTGATTAGTTGATGGGTGCAGCACACCAACATGGCACAAGTATACATATGTAACAAACCTGCATGTTATGCACATGTACCCTAGAACTTAAAGTATAATAAAAAAAATTTTAAAAAAATCACAGTTTATTATTTCACAGGTCTAGAGGTCAGGAATCTGAAATGGGTCTGCAGGGCTATGCTCTTTTCATGTTTTGTGTGTGTGTATGTGACGGAGTTTCACTCTTGTTGCCCAGCATAGTAAATTTACTTGCGTAACAAAAAAACGCAAAATATCGATGGTTTAATACACATAATTTTTTTTCTCCCAGAAGATCTTTCTGTGAGAAAGGGGGCTTCTAGCAGTCCCCTGCTATCCTTTGCTCAGAACTCCTCCCTCTATCTTCAAAGCCAGCAGTGTAGAATCTTCTCCCCTCTCTTGACATCTTGTCTCCCTCTTATAAGGACTCTTTGATTATGTCCAGCCATCCAGATAATCCAGGGTAATTTTCCCCATCTCCTTAATCACATATGCAGTTCCTTTTGCCATATAAGATAAAATATCAATAGGTTCTTAAGATTAGGATATAGACATATTTGGGGGTCATTATTCTGTCTACTACACTCCTATTTACCTTTTTTCAGGAAGGCATTCGAGGATGTAGTTCATTTTTAAAAAGGGATTAAACAAAGAAAAAGGAAACAAGTGATCTAACACACAGGAGAACAGTATTACAGTGCAGAAACCAGCAATCCTGAATAAACTAAAGGTTGTAATGCTGTAGGAAGAGTATCTGTAAGGAAAAAAAAATCTACTGGATTATCTGATGTATTTCACTGTGATGCTTTAGCAGTTTGCCAAAGTGTTTGAGGACAGATTAATAATACGTTAAAAATGGCAGTTATTAAGAGAAAGGAAAGTTAAAGGTTGTATTAAAAGTGAATGTGATCTTAATATGCTATGTGCCTTGGGGTTGAATGACATTTACCTAGACAGTAGTGATAACACTAAACGTTGATTTAGCCAAAGCCTATGATATCACTATATTGATAGGTAAAGGGACAAGAAGAGTGTATGAGGTAGAGAGGGAATGTTCACACACTTGGAGGTGGTACTGTTATAAAAGACCTATATCACTGCCTTCCGTAGGAGAAAGTCAATGGGTAATGTCTGAAATTGGAAAACCAAGAAATTGCAATGTAAGTATATTTAGACATAGTGGATAATAGACAAAATATTTAAAACACTTGAATTTTCCTTTGGTGAGCAGAATTGAGAATAGAGTAGAAGGGTTGGAGACTACAGGGTTTTCTTTAACCTCAGAATGTGGCAAACTGTTAGTGCTCACCAATATGTGTGTGTTTCTCTACATTTCCCAGAATCCCCTGCAGTTAAAGTGGGGGCCTTGGGACTAAATTCTGGCCAACAGAATGTGGCCAAATTGATATATGTTATTTTTAGGGTTGACGTTGGGTGATTCGCCATACTTTCCTTCTTGTCAGATAAGCTAGTCCTAGAAGGCAGCAGAACCATTAAAAATAAAAACATTTGGCCTTGAATTTAACATTTCATCTGACTAGAAATAGCCAAAATGGATCTTTTGTGAGAAAAAAGACAAAACAAAACATGTATTAAACTGTTGATATTTTGGGGTTTTCTGTTACAGAAGTAAACTCACTACGCTGGTTTTAAAACATCGACAAGATTTGCCAATCCTTTGAGAAGAGGGATCTATGTCTCCTTTCCTAAAATGCAACAGGACTTTGACACACTTGTAAGCAAAAGAAAGTGAGGGAAGTAGCACCGTGTTACTTTTTGAGGCAAGGTCAGAAAAGGTCAGGCAATTTTTGCTTTGTTCATTGCAACACTCCCTTTGGAGCTCTGAGTTTAAGCTAAGAAGTCTGACTACCTTGCTGCCATACTGTGAGGAAGCCCCGGCCATATAGTTACAGAAGCTCTGCTAGCATGCCTACTCTAGTCTTTCTGAGTTACCAAAGAAAAGCTGATGACTGTGCCCTACTGACAACATCACCTGTGAACATAATAAAATGGTTGTTTTAAGCCACCATATTTTGGAGTAATTTATTACATACAATAGCAACCCAATGCTCAATCTAACAAATAGTATCATTTACTTTTTAATCTGTGCAATTTAACTATTTTGATAAAACTTAGAGTTAAGCTAAAAAGGAAAATGGGTGTGAATTACTTATTCCTGGCTTATAGACTTTGCTATTCTACTTTCCCTACCCAGAAAGTTCACCTTTCTCCCTAAATCACTGGCTTTCAAACTTTTTAGAGTTTGAAATACACTAAGAAATACATTTTACAAACAAGCCCTAGTGCACACATACATGCATATATATAATTAAAAGCTCCATACAGTAGCACTTTACTAAGTAACACTAAATTTACTTACATGCACTGATATTTCCAATCTATATTGTTTCAATTTTTTTTTTTAAGTGTAAAGAGATTTCCTTGCTTACAAATGGGTCAAGACCTCCACTAATGGGGTCCCACACAATCCCCTTTCCAGTTGAAAACACTATCCTAAACCTAAATCATTCTTCAAGGCCTTACCCAAGTTCGAAAAAGAAGCCTTTATTGACCACTCCATTCTCAGCTTTCTTGAAATTCCTGTAATGTATTCAGTTGCATTTTTTAATCTCAGTAGTAAGAATATTGCATTTTCTGTACTTAAATTTAACATGCTTTACTTGATATCGTGAGCACTTCTAGGGCATTGTAATGTCCTTTATCTACCACTCGATAAATTCAGAGTGCTCAATAAAACATTGCTCAGCATTTGACCGTTGTGTTTTAAAATCTTAGTTGTTAGAGTGCACTTCAGTTTGGGCATTCTTTGGGGAGAGGCACTGACAAATGTTCTAATAACTCATCCACATATTATACTTCAAACTGGAAAACACACAAAATAGTTTTAACTCTATATGCGTGTTTGTATGCAAACTAAATCATAAAGATACAAATGATTTTTCTAATAGCTTTCATTACCATACAGCGCACGAAATAATGATATTGATATAGCCACGAAAGAGTAATATAACCAAGTTCTCACAACTAAAATATCTTTGAGGTGGGCAAAATGCCAACTTTTCTCTGGGATCAACATTTCTTCACAACTCACTGCAACTACGCCTTGAGAGTATGTTTGGAGAACCGCTTCCCAATTATGTCGTCCCAGAAAGAATCGGGAGGAAACCGGGTGAAAGGCTGCGAGGCTTGAGGCGGGTCCCAGACGAACGCCGCCCTGCCCCACGCCAGAGCCTCTCAGAAGTGCGACACCGCCGCAGAGAGAGAGGCTGAGGCGGAACTTCCAGTCTAACCCCGCCCCGCTGTCTTCCCAGCCTTTTGCTTAGGCCGCGCGGTCTGCGTTGTGCGGGGCCCCAGCCCTAGCAACGACTCTAGCAACTGCCTGGCTCCTCCCTCTGGTGTCTCCGGGAAAGCGCTCCGTCTGGTACGTGCGCTATCACGGCCCGGTGCGTGGCCCGGGCTCGGGCTCGGGGGGTGCTGGAGACGCGTGGAGCTGTTCGAGGACTCGCGGGTGTGCAGGTCTGAGTACCACTCCGATCCCTGGTGGAGGTCTCCGCGCCTCTCTGGAGACCAGTGGTCTGGCCCCAGAGGTGCGGCCGCGGGAAGTGGACATTCTTTGTCAGGACCCTAGCGGAGGTCGCGCTGGGTGTCGCCTGTGAGGGGGATCCTCAGTCCCTGCGCGGTCTCTTGCTTTTTTTAGGATCTTGCGGGCCCTTTGGGGAAAAGGTTTCCAAATTTTTCCTCAAAAAAAAAAAAAAATTGTTTTTCCTACCAATAATTTTCGGTGCATTCCGCCCCAACGAAAAATATGTCCTGGCAAAGTCAGTTCCCTAGGAACCCCATACTTTATTTTATTTTTTTTTAGTATTTGGAGTGGTTTGTGGGGGTTTGGTTATTACGGAAGGGGAAGCGTAGTACAGACGTAGAATTAGCGATGCCATGCAGTGTAGTTAAAATATTGAGGTTGTGGTTACATAATAAACAAAAGAGCCTTTTCTTACGTCTAAATTATTTATTGGGAATGTAGGACAAATAAGGAAGTATATTAACATTTTTCGGTCACCAGGTCCACAAAGTTGGATGGTAAAATCGATACTTTAGATCGCAGCATTTAAGGACTAACCCAATGCACCATGAAAACGAAGGCAAGACAGTCTGCTACCATATGGCGGGTGGTGTGGGAGGGGCCGTTGATCCTGTATAAAAAAGAGTACTACCTTGGATTGTGAAAAATGAATGTTGGAACTGTAGGTCCAAGTTCTTAAAAATACTCTAGACTAAAGAAAAATTGTTTTTTTTCCTAATACTGAATTGGTCCACAATACAGTACAGGGGAGTCTATATAATGTTCCATTGGGAGGTGAGTCAGCTTGCAATAATGGAAGAGGTAGAAGCTTTTTCTGTTATTATTTTGGGAAAAAAAAAATTGCCAGCCTGCCACTTGTGCTAGGCTGCAGATGGCCCATAAAGATAGTTTGTCAGATACTTCAGTAGTGAGATGCTTCCTGGATGTGTTTTGCAGAATGGTTTAGATTTAGTTAACTAGTGTTTGTTGAGTGCCTCCTGTTGCCTAAGAATCAGTAATAGGTGAGATAGGTGAGATCGGGGAAGGAATCTGCTCTTACAGAGTTGAATGGGAGAGGGGATAGATTCGCTAAAGTACCTCCACAATAAATGCATTTTTCCATGTCAAATATGTGGAACTAATAATAAGTACTCAAAGATAAAGAGATTTAAGACATTGCTGTGACCCATCTATGAGTTAATAAGGAACTGAATTAGAGTCCTGACTTTGAGGGTGAAGATAAGAGGATTACGTACAAGGTAGAATTGATGCAACTTGGTGAGTATAATTAATTTGGGGTGGAAATTGAGTAGAAGGAGGAATAAAAAATTAATGTATTTTTAGCCTCAAGTTCCAGAATGATGGACGCACCATCAAGGTGTTAAAATTGTTAGTTCTTAGGAATAGTCTTTATGTTTTCTAAGTATTTCTAGCCCCCATGACTCAAATTGTATTTCCTTGCACATATTTGATGTTAACAAGTATGTTTTAAAGATTTTAAATAACCCCATTTGCAACAAATGATTTACTCACAGTCGAGACAGGTTGTTGGCTAGGTTAGGACAGATACCCTGATCATGTAGTTTCAGAGACCGTTGGAGGAAGCTGCCCATGATTTACGATTGCTGGCCTCTTCTGCGTGGCCACCTCAGCCGTAAGTGAGAGAATGTAGGTGAACTAGGAGGTGGAGCCATAAACATTTCTGTTTTACTGTCTTACAGGTATTTGTGGTGGTTGATTTTTTGTAGAGGAAAGTTATTTATATAAGGTTTCACTAATATCCATTTAGTTATGTGGATAGCAGGTCTGTGAACTGCAAAGTGTTATTTCTGAGGTATCTCTAGGAGGAATGCATGTCGAGGGTCCTAGGATAACTCCAAAAACTCACCAATGGTTTTCTGTTAAATGTCAGGCAACCACAGTAACTTTCATGACATCCACAGGGACTGCATTTTTCAATCCCACTATACTTGGTCCTTTGGCACATGCAGTCCCGCTAAATAGCTACTGGAATACCCAGGAAAATGAAGTCAGGTTAAGCTAGTCCAATCAAATTTCATTTTTTAGGATGAATCACATCATCTGAATAACTCAGGACTATTAAAGCCTCAAAATGTTTCTCCGTAAGAACCTCAGGCAACACCAGGACAAACCCAAAGAGAGTTTGGGTGAAACTTAGCCTCTTATGTGCAGCAAAGAGATGCCAACAGAGCATTTGCAACTCTCATTTCTGGGGACTATTAGGATCTCTTCCCAAACTTTTTTTTCTCTGTTTTAGAGATGGGATCTCACTTTGTTGTCCAGACTATTCTCAAACTCCTGTGCTCAAGTAATCCTCCCACCTTAACCTCCCAAATGCTAGTATTAAAGGCATGAGCCACCAAGCCCGGCCCTTCCCAAGCTTGGAACTTCTTTACCTGGGTCGCAGATGGACTCTAGGAGAGCTCCAAACCTCCTGAAATTGTGTGCAAAATATTGTGTCTGTATATTCATCTAGGGATGAGGTTTACGATTTTCATGTGATTCCTAAAAGAATCTGAGGTTCAAGAAAAGAGGGCATCTTAATATCCTGCACTTTTAGTCATTTAGGGCATGGTCACAAAGATCAAAGCCATTTTTAGGCAGGTGATTTGGAGTGACAGAATTAGGTAAGATTTTCTATTTGTGTGTTAGGAAGAAGGGTTTGGACCATTGTTCTTAAATACTGCTTTCTTACCCAAAATGTAAATCTGTACCTAATCAGTACACAGCAAAAATATTTACTGTATTTTGGTTTTCCCCTTGGGTACATTTGGCTAGTACCTTTTTCTACTATAACCGGCGTCTTTGCATCTCCTTATTTGGGTCTCAAGCTCACTGGGATTTACAATTTAAAAAAAAAAAAAAATTCATTTGATGAGTAATTAAATTAGTGCCACTAACTTCTTCTCAGCAAATTATGTTGTATTTTATGTTCCTCTGGACTTTTTGTTCACTTTCTATATGGGAGACCACAAAACGTGTCCTGCTCGAGTCACAGCATTCCTCTTGTCACTGTTTCTACTTAAAGTGCCTGGAGCTTCGTAGTTAAACCACAATGCCAGAAGGCTTTATAATAGGAGAATTATTTTATAGCTGTGGAATGCATATCAAATCAATAGGGCACCAGTGTTGTTTCTCCCTTGAAAGGTATCTTCCTTACAGGGTATGCAGATAACAATTTTGGCAGCCATCACCCTTTGAAGAAAATATTAAGTGGGAAAGTTATTTTACCATTTTTCTCTAGTTCTAAAGAATCAGAATGATGTATGTTTTTAAAAAGCATAAATTCTTAGAGTAAGTGGACATTAATGTTACTCTGTAAATTTTTAAGATTTATAAAATAATATATTTTACCTTACGGGATAATTTATAAATTATAATGAGTAGTAGGTGCCTCTTATTTTTTATTGGATATTTAGTTGTATATGTATATGCACACTTGTACACACACACACACACATATGTAGTGTGTGTTTTAAGTTGGAGAGGGCTATATCTTTTAGAACATAACCAACTAAATTTTGCCAATCCCACTAGAATCTTCTATTTTTCATTAATGTCAGTTCAAAGTCAGAGCCAACAGGTTAAATACATTCCTGTCTGATGCTAACATGAAACCATTGCATTCCTAATATCTGGAAAACAAAATTGCCATCTCTGGAACAAAAAAAGCGTTCTTGAAAAATGGATTCTCGGTACCTGAACTTTATATTTGAAATACCTTTGAGTTTATTGCTTTTAATCTTATGTTTTAAAGTATGCCAATTTGGTGGTTTAAAACATGTTTAATAAGTACTAAAACAGCACACAATTGTGACTTAAGTTGAGTAATTTTCTTTGTAGACTGAGTAAAATATTTTCTGTTTTTATTTTGCCTTCTCTTGACACTTTTTTTTTTATTTACAGTGCACCTATGATATGTGTTTTAGAAATAGCTGTTAAACTTTGGTTTGAATGAAGAATGTCTCTCAATTCACCTATATTTCTCAAACGAAGTGAAGAAAATAATTCAAAATTTGTGGAAACAAAACAGTCACAAACTACTTCCATAGCTTCAGAAGATCCCCTTCAAAACTTATGTTTAGCATCTCAAGAAGTTCTTCAAAAAGCTCAGCAAAGTGGGAGATCAAAATGTCTCAGATGTGGTGGTTCCAGAATGTTCTACTGCTATACATGTTATGTTCCAGTTGAAAATGTACCTATTGAACAGATTCCACTTGTGAAGGTTAGTAAGAAATTTAATTGTTTGAAAGTATGAAAATAGATTTTTAAAAAACATGTATACCTACTCTAATTGATAAACTTAATAAATAATGTTATTATTTATTAAGTTCCTGTCCCTGTGTCCTTCCCTTATTGGCTAGAGTTGGACCGCACAATCTAAACTGATTCCAGTTGGCTAAGACTTAAACTTTTCCAAATAGGGTAAATGCACGATTTGTAAAAGGAGGAGTTAGGAGTGGTCTGTCCATTATAGTATAAGGCATTTCTGGACATGTTTGGGCATGTCAGGGCACAACAAGAGTGGGAGGGTTGCTTGCAGGCTGGAAACGAGAGTACAAGGAGCTTGGGCTTCTGAACAAAGAACAAGAACATCGCACAAGTAAACCTTTTGAAGAGGAATTTATCATTGCTAACATTATGAAAACGAAGTGTATTTATGGAAAATTTAGTCCTGCAGACTACTAAACCTCTTGGTGTTTTTAATGAAACCCATTAATTTTTCATTAATGATTTAATTTATTTACAATATAAGAAAAAA